CGCCGTGGGAGTGGGGCACCGAGGTCACGGGGGAGTGAGATGCTGTGTCACGAGGGGCCCGTTCTGCCCTCTAGAATGGCCAGTCCTGATTTCCATACATTTGTGCATTTTCCTACTGTTTGATTTCTTTGCACACACGCCCTTCCTCCTCTCAAAGCACTTCTAGGTCATTTGTGTATTTCTTAATTAAAGTAGAGCAATACTCATTTCAGCACATGCCTGGCTATGGCTGGGGTTAGTCAAGGGGGCAGGAAGTTGACACTGAGAATTGAAGGCCTTTTATTTTTATTTTTTCTAAAGATCTTATTTACTTTTAGGCAGAGGGGAAGGGAGGGAGGAAGAGAGGGAGAGAAACATCAATGTATGGTTGCCACGCATGTGCCCCCTCCTGGGGGCCTGGCCTGCAGCCCTGGCATGTGCCCTGACTGGGAATCGAACCGGCCGCGACCCTTTGGTTTGGAGGCCAGCCAGGGCCTTTTAATTGAGGAACGGCAGTTCTCACCTCATCATCGTTACAGCATTAAAAACCAAACCAAAACAAAACAAAACTGGGTTCCTCTGCATATACGCTCACTGAACCCTCACAGCACAGTGTGAATTAGGTGTTATTACCCCCATGTTCCAGGAGAAAACACTGAGTCCCAGAGAGGTGAAATGATTTCCTGCGCCTCCACCACCGCCTTGTCCAGACCCGGCTGCCCCGAGCCCTGTGCTCCCGCCTCACCTCCTTCCCGGGGCGGTGCCACCAGCCCCAGAGAGCCCAGAGCAAAGGGGCAAAGAGCACAGGGCCCGGGGGCAGAACGCTCGGCCTCAGGTCCTGGCTTTGCTTCAAACGGGTCGTGAGGCTGTGGGCGCCTCGCTGCCCCTCTCTGGGCCTCAGACTGTCATTGTGAATGGGAGAGATTGGGTCAGACAGTCTTCGAGGTCCCTTCGTTCAGGCTTGATGGTGGCAAAAGAAGGCCGCTCTTAACAGCTCAGCACCGCTGCCAAGAGCCCGGGGCTCTCACGCAGCCAGGGCTGGGCCAGCGCCAGACCAGCAGCCCTCTCTCTGGGGCTGCGTGGGTCGCTCTTCTCTCGGCTTCCCCGCGTCACTCTCTGCCTCTGCAAACTGGTTTTCTTCTTCCACAGATCTGAGTCTTCTGCTTCTTTGGCCGACGGTGGCAGATGCCTCTCTGGCTCCCACTCCCTATGACCTCAGTTTTGGGGGTTAGCTGAGTTGGGTCGGATAGCCCCCTTGGTCTGATCAGCTGGGTTCTTTAGCACAAAGACGTGGGGGCCGAGGTTGGGGTCACCTCCCCCCCTCCCCACCAGAGGCTCTCTACACAGGACAGGAATGGCCCCCTTGGCAGAAGAGACAAGGTCGAGTAAAATTCCATTCCCCATGAGGGGACATTGAGACCTCCAGAAAAACACAAGCTCCTTACTTACTTCTTTACTTGGTCCTTACCCACCGTTTTCCACCTCAACTCCCTCCGTTGCTCAAAAATCTCATCCCGTGCCTGCTGCTAATGAGATCACAACCAGACTCCTCAAGCTGCTATTCAAGACCTTGCATGTCAGATCTGCTCTTAGATTTGTGACGTTTTCTTCCCCATCCCTGTCTGTAAACCTGCATTCGAAGGTGCCAAGCGTGCCCTTCACATCCCCACGCCCTTGCCTTTGCTCACCCCACTCTCTTACCCCTGTGACGCCCCCATCGTCCTGGCGAGGCTACCCTCTGCCCCTACACAGCTCTTCAAGGGCTTGGCCACTTGGTCATTTAGGGAAGTTTCCCACCTCCTCACCAGGAGCCACCTGCATATGTCTGCCCTTTCCACACAGCTTGTCGGTTTCTAGAGGCAGCACTTACGTCTTCATGTTCGTCCTCAGTGTGGAGGTTAGAGGCCTGCCCTTGGTGGGCGCTCAAGGAACGATTATTGCCTGAACTTTTGCTGCTTCTCCTGTTGGCCCTCTTGACCCCTCCAGGACTTGTGGCCTCAGCACTGCAGACATGCCTGAAGGGCCCCAGGGTGCCAGTAGGGGACTGCTCCCACTTGGGTCCCTCCAGGACCAAGCAGGCGTGTGGGAGGGGGGATGGTCGCAAGTAAACTCTCCTGACTACCCGGATTTCCATCCCGGATCCGGTCTGCACATGTGCACACCTGCCTGGGGCCTGCATCCAGGCGGACTCATGAGATGTGCGAGGCTTGACGAGGGCTCTTGAGCCTTGATTTCATGGCCACATTGCTCCCCACGTGTTTCCGAACCTAAGCAGCTGCCAGTGTTAAGAACTAAGACAAGGTCGTCAGGGACTCAGAGCTGCCAGGACGAGCTGAGGCGCGGAGTCATCTTTGTGCAAATGACTCTGCAGTGCTTGTCAAGGCCCAAGGACTGGTGGCAGTGCCCTGCTTCCACACCCTCCACCGCAGAGGCAACAGAAGGACAAGCATGTGTGCACGCACGTCAAGAGAACAGGTCTGCTTGGCTGTCAAACAGCTGTCGTCCTTGGGGACGGACCTGCAGGGAGCCGTGGCCTGTCGCTCCGGCTGACGCTGCACGTGCGCCGGCTTTGCTGGTGAGCTTGTGCTTTTTTTCTGCAGGTCTCAAGGTCACCTCTTCTGGAATGGAATTATACTTGCCCCTGTCTTTTCTGCCAAAGGTGCGATTCCTGTCCTGTGCACAGGGGCTCTTGGGGGGGGGGTGTCTCCGCAACGGCACCCCCACTTCTTTTTCGTGCCACAGAGCTGGGCAGACCAAGGTGGACAGTCAACCCTACCTGCACAATCAGATTTCCTTTTGGAATGAGTGTCTAAGTGAGAGCAAGACAGAAGCCCCCACGTGTTTTATAACTTAGTCCTGGGAGTCACACATCTTCGCTTCTGCCACACGCTGTTCATTAGAAGCAAGTCACTATGTCTTATCACGCAAGGGGAGAGGATTAGGCTCCTCTTGAAAGAGCCTCAAGTAATTTGTGAGACTATTTGAAAACACCATGGCATAGAACTGAACCATGAAGTGTCCCCAAGGGCCGGTGGGGCGAGGGCGGGGGTTGGTAGTCAAGGGATAGCATCTGGAGAGTCCCCCGCAATAGGCAGAATCATAACCCCTAAAGATGTCATGTTTTGGAATAGGTTACACAGCAAAAGGAAAGAAGTTTGTTCATCAGCTGACCTTAGCACAAGGAGGTTATCAGGGGCTTCTAGGTGGGCCCCATGCAACCACAGGGGCCTCAAATGTGGGCGCAGGCAGCCAAGCAGGGCTCGTGTCAGAGAGACGCAGCATGAGAAGGCTGGCCTGGCCATCGCTGGCCCTGGAGACAGAGGGGCCCGAGAGGGAACGCGAGGGAATGCTTCTGGAAGCTGCAAAGGCAAGCAGATTCTCTCAGAGCCTCCCGAAGGTGCGCATGCTGCCAACATCCGGATTTTAGCTCAGAGACCCCCAACGTGCGATGTCTGCAGCCACCAGGTATGTAGGCCTCTGTCACAGCCGTGGGGAGATGTCACAGGGCTGTGCCCGCCCTCCTCTCTCGCCTGTTCCTACCCCACTTCCTCTTTCCTCACATGCTTATGATCATTGTCATTATTTACTTGTGGTCCATATATTTAGTGTATATGTTCACCATCCTCTTTAAAACTGTGAGCTCAAGGGCAAGGCCTATGTTTACCTATGGGTTTTGTTTGTTCAATGGAAATCCGAAGCACCCAGCACATCACTCATTATTATGTAGCCGTGAAATACTCGATCAGTGACTGACTAGACTGTCTCGAAGTGGAAGCAGCCAACTTGGCAGAGAGATGAAACAAGCAAGAGCTGGTATGAAATGCAATACGAGATCCCATGAATTCCTTCTCCATCACACTGGAGCCAAGGATCACACCCATGGCAGGACGGCTCTCTGAAGTCCTGTTTCCTCTGTATCTTCCTTCACTCTTGCTTCAGCCAAGCCTCTTCCACCCGAGGGAAAGGGCTTGGGGCAGGACAGAGCACGTCTGAGGGAGGTCACGAGCTCTTCCCCACCTTTGCAAAGGCCTAAGGCCTCTGAAGGGATCCCTATCCGTCTGGTGGGGGAGGGGGATGAAACCTGCCAGAGGGTAAGGAGGGTGGGTCCTCAGAGCCCAAGGGGACCGATGAGCACCGGGTCCTGAGCCCTCCTGCAAGCTGGACACTGGGTCTGTGGGTTCCCCACATCGCCCCAAACTCTTGGGTAACCCCAACACACACAGTGTAGGAGCTAAGAACACGGAGGGAGGAGGCGGACAGGGCCGTGGGGGTGTCTCCTGTCACCCCGCAGAAAGGTGTCCCATATCTTCAGGTGTCCCATCTCTTCTGACCTGGGGCCTTTGCAGAACAAGGTGGGGTTGAGGGAGATAGTGGCTGGGAGGGGGACGACCCTCAAGGATGACCGGGAAGAGGGGTCGGAGACTGAAACACGCTTCTTTAGAACAGAAAATTAACACTCTCCGCATACTCAAGCTTGGTGACACCCCCTTCGGATTTGGATGAAGACTTTAATCCAGATGGAGGGAGGCGCGGGGCGGGGTGGGACGGAAGCGGGCAACAGCCTTCGCTGTGCAGCTGAGGACGAGGCGGAGGGCGAGGCGGCTGGCGAGGCGGAGGATGAGCTGGAGCTCCAGCAGGTCTGGCGGTGCGGCTAAGTGGGAAGCGTGTCCTCCATCGCGTAGAAGTTGAAGCACAGATACATCAGAAAGCAGCTCCAGACGCCAAGGGCGAGTAGGGTGCCCAGGCCTGGTGCGGAAGCGGCCTGCTAGACGGGGACAGAGGCAGACACCTGTGGCAGGGGCAGGCTGGCGCTGGCAGGGGGCCCGCCCCTCCACGGGAGCCTTCGGGCTGGGCTGCCCAGCCCTCCTTCCTGGGGCCCGCGTCCTCCGAGGCTGAGCGGGGTGGCGGGGGCAGAGTCTGCGGGCGCACAGGTAAAGGCCGATGCGAGCGCAGCCCGGGCACACTGTCTTTGGGACCACGGGGCACCCGGCTGAGACAAGGCACATCTCTTCTGAAGCTACCTACCCCTGATTGTAGTTGTTCTTTAGGGCACACAACAAATATTTCTCTTGTAGAGGACAGAAACGGCACAAGAAAGATCATTTTTCCCTGGTCCAAGATGACCAGACTGCTGGGCACCTCGTCAGGTCTTGCTATAGGAAAGGACAGAACAATACAGTGGCACTTGGGGGCGGGCACATCCAGGGTGGAGCCGGCTTGGCCATGGCGTGGGAATGTCCCAGGCCTAGAGGGCAAGGCCGCAGGGAGGGCTCAGGCTCCAGAGGCCCCCTCCGGGCGGCAGAGGGGCTCAGCCAGCCCCCTTCTGGCTAGAGGTGCGCGGCCCAGGGAGGCCAGAGAGGAGCAGGAGCCCAGGGTGCAGCTCCCGCACAGGGCTGCCGGGCTTCACTTACGCAGCAGGTCCCACACTGATGGAGGGAATCCAGCGGGTCCTTTTTGGCTTTCTGCAGTGCCAGATTCTTCTTGGGAACCGCCCGCAATGTCCCGTCAGCTCCCTCCAGTTTCTTGAGCCGGAGCTGGGAGTCCATGCCAGGCTTTCCCACCAGCCTGAGCTCCTGAGGCCCCTTTGGCTCTCTTCTGAGGAGGCTGGGGAGTCAGGGAGGGGCAGAGTTGGGGGGACAACTTCCAACATGACAAGGAGACAATGACAGCACAGGTGGCCGTGGAAGGCCTCGACTCCAAGCCATCGGGGCCACAGAAAGCCCGACAGCTCCGTGAAGGGTCTGAGAGTCCTTGCACCCCGAGGACACTTAGCAAAGTGAAGGGGAAGATTCTTTAAGGGTGAGGACAGAGGGTACAGCTTATACTCACAGCTTGTTGTTTTTCTGTACATTTATTAAAACATCCATCTTCTCATCCATATCCTTCTGCATTTCCTTCGAGAGAGAATTCAAAGCTAGAAGCTACGCCTTGAAAGGTTTCTGAAGTCCCTGTCTCCTCCCTCTCTGCAAACCACTCAGAGGTCGCGCCCTCAGCCCCTGACTCCCTCAGGACGCTCCCTGGCCTCAGGTGCGGTGGCTTACGGGGGCGTGCCTGCCGTGGGCTGCCTCCCCCTTCCCACGATGAGGCTGGGCGACGAGCGGAGTCACCAGGGCCTGTCCACAGTCCCCAGGTGAGTCAGAGGCCAGAAACTGTTTCACCCAAACTCACACGCTCCCACTTCGATGAAACTATTATCTGCCTTGGTTCAAGGCCTTTAAAATAACACAACCAAGACAATACGTCGTGTGACGACCCCACCCCTTCACCCCCAAAGACACTTTGACTCCAGTGTTTTGACCCCTGCTGTGCACTCAGATCCTGTGTATTTGTTTGCTCCATCTTTTACCCAATTCCTGGCAGAAATGGTCAACACAAAATAAAACTGACAGTAGCTCAAATGGCACCTCACTTGTGTTATTTACTAAGAACTGAAAGAATTGTAAAATCTTGGCAAAGTTTAGGTCTATAAAGTTGACCTGAGAAAATTGGATGAGAACAGTGGTCACAAAAGAAATTCTAAGATGGCAGATGCTACCATAGACAAACAGGGACATAATAGGATTGGGTCAAACATCACAAAATGTAAACTAGTAATTTGCTTCAAGGAAAATAACTTTAATAAAAAAATAAAAGTTTGGGAACAGTTTCCTGAACTACGGTAAAAACTGGATCAAAAAATTATGCTGCCTGGGTGGAGAGGATTTCAAAAACTACCTTCCTGGAAAGCAGTCTTAAATATTCGTGTAAATTTTGAATAAAACAGTTATATTCATAGGTAGAATCAAAATATGCTTGAAGTCCAAATTTCCCCTGGGTCCAAAAACCTAGAATCAAAACATCCCATATTCTTGCAAGTCTGGCCGTCAGCCCTAACTCCTCTGTCCCAAATTGACCCCCACATTTTCTCTTCTACATTAATTCTATCTCCCAGCTACCCTTGTCATTGTCGCCACTTGCTTCTAATCACACAGACTAAACCTTTGGCATCATCATGGACGCTTGCCTTCCTTTTATTCTCTCTATTCAGTTGGTCACCAAGAACATTATTTTCCTTCAGAGCATCTTTCTGATTCCCCCTGCCCTTCTGTTCCTACACCTGTCCGGTTTTCTTCACCTTGAGCCGGCTGCGGCTTCCTGTTGGATATTTTTGCTTCAGACGACCCCCACCTGCTCCCTGGGGCCCCCACAGGCCACCTTGCAAACAGCTGCCAGCTCAGCTTTCTGAAACGCTGCTCCTGGCATGTTCTTTGATTAAGACTCTCCAGAGGCCCCTGACTGCTTACACAGCCAAGCCCCAACCTGTCTGCCTGTCTTCCCAAAGCCTCCGTTCCCCGCTGCCTCGGTGCCCCACCCATTTTATTTCTCACAGTTTCCCCAAATGACCCCACTTTCAGGACTGATCTCCCCCGACTGTGATGCACTTCATGTTCCTCCTGCCCCCACGCTGCGCGCAAGCTGTGCCTGTGCCCGAAATAGCCTCCTCCGAGCCTCTCCTGCCTGGGCCTACCCACCAGCAGACACACACTTGGTGTTGGCATTTTACTATGGAGACAACACTTGCCCTTGCAGGAAATCTGGATAATATGGAGGAATACAAAAGAAAAAATTATCGTCACCTAGAAATAACAATAATCCTTTTGGTATATTTCTTTCCGGTCTTTTTCTTTATGTTCATTTACTTTTTTTTTTCCCATTTAGTTGAGATCAGCTTGTATACCTTACTTGTATCTTGCTCTCTTCTTAGATGCTGTCTAGGAGTTCCTAATTTTCATTATATGGATATATCATAATTTATTTGGCTGTTTCTCTACTGTTAAAATTGTGGTTATTTCCAAATACACACACACACACACACACACACACACACATCTATGCTAGCACTTCTGATCATTCTTAGAGGTTAAATTCTGAGAAGCGGAATCGATGAGTCAAGGGGGTTCAATGCTCTTTATTTTTAGAGAGAGGGGAAGGGAGTGAGAAGAAGAGGGAGAGGAACATCGATGACAGAGAGAACCCTGATCGATTGCCTCCCATGCACACCCTGTCCAGGTCCGGGGACAGAACCTGAAACTCTGGCACATGCCCTGAGCCGGGATCGAACCGGTGACCTTTTGCTTTGTGGGACGATGCCCAACCCACTGAGCCACACCGGTCAGGGCTCCTTTTCAGTTCTTCTCATCAGCAGTATGAGAGCATTCCTATCTTAGTCTATAATTGTCAGAGATTAAAACTGCTTGAACGTGACACTTAACTAATTATTGTTTTCATTTGCATTCATTTGATTACTCATGAGGTAAACTCTTTTAATGTTTATTGCTTTTTAGTTACATTCTCTTCTGTGGATTTGCAGTTCCTGCTCTTTCCGCATTTTTCTACGTGGTTCTTACTGATTTGTGTGAGTTCTATGCGTTGCAGATAAAAAAGGCTTCGGTCTATCTATGTCTATCCCATTTGTGGGAAAATTGTTTCTCTAAAACTGTTGTTTGCTTTTTTTTTAAAAATTATTTATGGGGCTGTTCTATAATTTCAGTTTTTTTATATTGTTAAATATATCATTTCTTCCTTTGTGATTTCTTCCATTGTATTTATGCTTGGAACCTCTGGATTAATACTTATATGTATTTTCTTCTTACTGGTTTTTAGTATTTAAATTCACTTTGTAGAATATTCTACTATACAGAATTAACCGAACTAAGTTTTCTCTTCATATAGTCAGGCAATGTTCATAATATTGCATAACTCTTTCCTTCTCACTGACCTTTAAAAAATCATCTTTATCCTATTGTAAATTTTACAGAGCTGGGGTTCCCACACTAGAGTGTACAATGGAATCACGAAGGGACCTTGAAAAACTGCTGACCCTGGACCTCACCCCCAGAGGTCCTGATACGGGGATGTGGTGTTGCCTGGGCACCCGGGGTCAGAGCCGCAGGCCAGCGACTCCCTCCGCGGCCACCGTGGCTGCTGCCCTGGGCTCTCCCCTGAGCGAGCGTCAAGGTTGCTCCGCTGCAAAGCATCTGCACCCTGCCCTGTTTCTGGGGTCCCGGGCCTGGGAATATGGGTTTTGGAAAGCCTCACAGGTATTCTGGTGGCACCCCCGGCAGACACGCGGCTCCAGGGGTATCTATGCTGCTGTCCCTGGGCTGTACCACCTTAATTCACTTATTGTGGCTTTAGTACGAATTGCAACACCTCGCAGGGGTATTCAAATTCTTGAAATGTTATCGATACCTGCTTTCCCTATTAAGCTTCAATGTCGGTGGCTCTCAGATTTTCACCTGGAGACCGTGAAAAAAATCCAAGGCCCCAAGTCCCATCTAAATGGGACCTGGGCTTGCCCTGCCGGGCGGCTCAGTTGATGGGACTGTTGTCCCTCGCGCCAAAAGGTTTGCTGGTTCGGTTTCTGGGTGGAGCAGGGACGGGAGGCAACTGATCGATGTTTCTCTGTCACGTCAATGTTTCTCTCTCTCCCCTCCTTCCTCTCTCTCTAAACTTAATAAATATATATCCTTAGGCAAGGATTAAAAAAATAATAATAAAATAAAAAATAAAAATAAATAACATTTTAAAGTAAGATAAAAATAAATGAATAGGACCTGGGCTCTGTTTTCTTTATTTGTGCTGGTGATTCTAAAACACAGCAAAGTCTGAGAACAGTTCTAAAATCTGATAATCTTCTCAGTGGCTGTTGCATTTAAAAATAACCTGGTGGGCTCTAAGCTTCCCGTGCAGCCTTCGCGGCTCACCTGAAGACCCACTTTCTCCCTAAGGACTTTTCGGGTTCCCCCAGCCCAGTCACCACTCACTTCTCTAAACTCTCCGTTAACTGACATCCAGTTATCACTTCGCCTGTCGCTTACGTATTAATTCTTTCTTGCAATAGAGTTTGGGGCATGGCCTGCTATGTCTGTCTGTCCACAAATCCTAGCACGGTGCTGGCCCATGGAAGGCACTCAGTAAGTTCTTACCTTCATAATCGCCACAAATTCCTGGAGTTTATCAAAATCCTTGTCCATTACATCTTTTATCTGACAAGGAAGAAAGACACAGGGCATGTTACTGACTGTGAAGTCATTTTGGGGGCATTTTAAGCAAAGGGCCGCAGCTGCTGCTGGTATGAGCTGGATGAAGCTCATGGAAGAGAGTAATAACAGCCCATCAAAGCCACATTCTTCCCAAGGGGCTAACCAAGAGACTAGGGGTGCAGGTACCATCAAGTGCCCACCAGCAGCAGCCTCAGCCCATCCCAGACCTACTGCCAGGCTTCCGCGTGGCGCTCAGACCACGGCTTCAGTTGCGCCTTCTTGCTGGGCATTCCCTTCCTCCCTGAGGGCGCTCCAGGAAATGCCCTCACAGGGGCGAGGAGAGAGGTCTTGCTCTGCAGCTGGCTCGGGGCAGGTGGGCAGAAGAACTGAGTTGGTCCCTGGCTGCCCCGAAATTCCAATCAGCTCCTCTCTGTCTGTAAAGTTGTCTCTCCCCAACCTCATCCCAAAGACCCCTGAGAGAGTCCTCTGCATTCAAACACTGGGCTTACACACCAAAGAAGAAAGAAATACAGGGTCGGGCAGAAGTAACGCCATTGAGTGTGGCTGGTGGGGTATGTGAATGTCTCGCACGAGAGGGACAGCAATTTGCACATTTCACCTAAAATGTCGTACGGTTTGCTTGAGTGTGCTGTTGTTACGTTTTGGAATTACACGTTTATGACTTTGTAATAAAAGATTTTTATGTAATAAAAAAGGGGTGCTATTTGTGCCAGATGCCGTAGAAACCCTGAGCTACCCAACACGCAGAGGCTCCCAGGGGTGTCCAAACGGCAGCCCGCGCGCTGCCTGCGGCCCAGGGTGACCGCGAATGCGGCCCAACACAAAACTGCCAATCCACTTAAAACATGATGAGATTTTTTTTGTGTGATTATGTGTTGCAATATATTTAATGTGTGGCCCGGAGACGCCAGAAGTTTGGACATTCCTGCAGGGGTTCGGGCGGGTTCATTTGAGAGCTTTTTCCATGACCTTCCTGATTTCCGCCACTGTTCAAAGTCAGGCCCTACGCTTTCCTGGCCGCTGCCCTTTACCTCCAGGTTCTGAAAAGTCTCATCCTGTTACCTGTTTTATCTCTTCCATTTTTTCCTTGAGCTCTTCCCTCACCTCCCTGAGTTCATTCTGAGGAAATAAAATAAGGAAGAGAAGGAGTCAAGAAATCTCTTGGGTGGAAGGGACACTGACAAAGGAGGAAGGGACACAGGACAAAGGTCCTGGGGTGTGGACAGAGGAGGGACAGAGAGACGCGTCCCATTAGGGAGGGAAGAAAGGGCGCTATTAAGAAAACAGGAGCGTAGGACATTCAGACACCATGTGCCTCTGACACTTCTGTGATGTGACTGTCAACATTGCACAGACAACACAAACTGAGGGTCATTCTACAAAGTGAATGGTCTGTAATCCTCAAAAATGTCACTGTCCCAAGAGACAGAGGTTGAAGGGTTGTTCCAGATGTCAGGAGGCTACAGTGACACAGAACCTGGACGCACGTGTGATCCCAGATGGGGTCCCAGGCAAAAAAAAACTGTTTTTTTTCCTTCTGTTATGAAAGACATTAGTGGATAATTGTTGAAATTAGAATAAGGGCTGTAGATGAGTACAGTGCCAATGTTAATTTCCTGATTTTAGCATTTTGATGACTTGACTTTGGCCGTGTAAGAGAGTGCTCTTGTTTTTAGGAAACTCACACAGACATTTGAGAGAAACATGCTCTCACATGGTTCCGGAAACATATTGTGTGTGTTGGGGGGAGGGGGTAAGAGAGCGGGAGAGAACCACGATAAAATGCCAACACTTGGGGAATCTGGGGGAGAGCACACTACGAGTCATTGTGCCATTTTTGAAACTTTTCTGTAAGTCTGAAATTATTTCAAAACAAAGAGTTAAAAGAAACAAACACAAAGAACCCGAGGGAATGAAGTCACAGGGCCCAAAGCTCAACCGTTGATGCCGAAGGATTTTCCCGAATGGAGGCTGCTTGGCTGCACCACCACCGCGCCCCGCTTCACCGGGCTGATCCCACCCTGCCGCCTGGGCTCACACACCTACCTTTAGCTCCCGAGTGCCTCCTGGTTTGGTAAATGGCCCTTCCGGTTTAATTCCTTTGTAGTCACATGTCTGCTGATTGAAACGAGAAACACAGCCCTGGAACTGGCAGGTGTGTAAGGCAGGGAGTCCGCCCCAGTTCCGGCTCCTCCCTCCGGGCCGGGGCAGACGCGCGAGGGCCGGCGCGCCCCCTGCCCCGCCGCTCCCTCCGCCCTTCGGTCCCCTCGGAGCTCGCCCACCGCACTGCCCGCGCGGCCTCCGCCCTCCCGGGGCCTCCGCCCCCCACGCTCTTCCTCCCGCAGCCCCTGAGTGGCCCGGGTCTCGTCCTGTCCTTCGGCTCCGGGCTCCGAGGAAGGCCTTTCCCGACCCCGACCTACAGCAGCCCTCCCGTCAGGTCTCCCTGTTTCACTTCTCTGCACAGTAGTGACACTGCCCAGTTTCTCTTCTCACGTATGTGTCCGATGAGTGATTAGTGTGACGAGCTATGACCGCAGAGAGCCTGCCCGTCCCTCGGTGTGTGTGCCCCAGCACCTGGCACAGGGCGCGGCCGCCGGCAGCAGAGAACGACCCCTGACTGCAGGGCACCTCCCCAGGGCTCTCGGGCCTGGCTGCCGGCACGGCCTCAGAACAGCTTCTTACTTTGATCGGCTCTGGCTTCAATTCCAGGCAAACTGCCTTGTAGTTCTTGCTCTGCGGAGGGGGCGGTTGGGATTCGCCCGTCAGGCATCGCTCCGGGGAGGCCCCCTCCGCTCCCTTGCGGGAGCCCCCTGCCCTACCCGCCTGCCCCGCCGCACCGGGCCTCAGGGCCACCTGCCCCCCAGCCCCCGAGTGAAGAAGCTCCGGTTCTGTCCTGCTGTTGCACGTCCCCGGTGAGCACGGGCCTGCCCTGCGCCCTGCCGGGGGCGCCCGGGCCGGGGAGCCCTTTCAGGGGGCTGTCGGGGAGCCGTGCAAGTCCTGTCTCAGGAGCACAGACTCAGGTTCTAACCTCAGCTGTCCTCCCCGCGGGCCGTGCCCCCGTGGGCAGGTCAGTCTCTCTGGCCTCCACTTCCCGCTCTGGGAGGTCACCCTGAGACAGGCCTGTTAGATGCAGGCCTGGCGTGGGGCGCGGCCCCGGGAGTAGTCGGGGCGGGGCTCGGTATCCGGTGTTCCTTGTCCCAGAGGGAGTCCGCGGAGCCCCCTTTCCTTCCCACCCCAAGGCCCGGAGTCAACCCCACCCGCCCTCCGGGCAGAGAGGCCGCTCCAGGCTCAGGACCGATGAAGAAAGCCAAGGGCTCGTCAGGAGGACCTGCGCCCCGCCCCGCCGCCACGTCTCCAGTCAGCGAGGCGCCCCCCGCCCCCCGCCCCGTGCAGCTGCTGCCCCTGTACCGGGTTTGCTTTCTTCACTTCTGCCCTCTTGGCCGACATGGTGGAGGAGGCCAGAGTGTTCTTTTCCCAGCCTCCGCACGACGGGCCGCGACCAGGCCACTGTCCTGCGCCGATTACAGGCCAAGGAGAGGGCAGGGTGACCACCTGTGTGTGTGGTGCAGCTGAGGTCACAATGCCCGCACCCCTATGCCCGCCTGGAGTGTCACCGCGGCTTTGAGCCTGGGGTGCCTTGGCCGCTGGGGTGAGGGGCTGGGGCCAGGTTCCCAAGTCCACCCGGAGGGGCCGTGCCTGCTACGGCCGAAGCCCGGGGCTCCCCTCTGCGGAAGCGGGAGCCGCTGGCTCCTCCGCAGCAGGCCCACCCGCTGCACGGGCGGGAGGAAGGGTCGGCCCAACGAGGGACGAGAGAGACGAGGGACAGACTTCTCGGAGCCCCACACAGCTCCCTCTGCCGTGCGCTCCGGACTGAAGGGGTGAACCCCTCCTCGGCCGGAGGCTGACTTGGGCTGCGCAGCCTCTCTGGTTCAAGGGGCGCACACTGTGCTAATTTTCTGTGCTGTGGGTGTCCCAGGGGGTGGAGCGCCGGTCTCAGCAGGGTGATTTCTGATTCCCTGTCCTATCTGCACGGCTGGCCTGTCCCCCACACCCCATCCCAGTCTCATCTCCTGCTTCTGTCACCCTGGAGGAGGGTGTGGCCAGAAGCCGCTTGGGCACAACACTGCAGGTGAGAAGCCTCTGCGGGAGCGGGTACTAAACAAGAGGCCACTCTGCCAGTGGCTGTAATTCGTGCTTAATAAAGAGTCAAAGGAACATGGCCTCGCACAGGACCTGAAATCACTCGCGATCTGGGTTAGAAGCCTAATTTCTCATTCACCCCTGGGCAGTCTACTTCCTTCTTCTCCCTCATTTCAAACACATGTTGCTGCCGAAAAGGCCACCTTGGAAACTGAGGACAGACAGCGCGGAGTATAGGAACCAATGAAAACTGCAAGTGAAACAGCGCCCGCCCCCCACAGAGACCTCTCGGCCCTCCCTCCGGTCCAGGTGCGCCTGCCCTTCCCCCGCAGGCATTGGCCCTCCCTGGGAGCCACCTGCAGCCTTCCGGACGCACTTCCCAGACGGTCATTTCACAGCCCTCACCCTGGTGACAGCCCTTGATCTCACTCCGTCACAACCAAGGGAGAATGTGACTGTCACTGTGTTCAGTGTGTGTGGTGCAGGGGGAGGGAGGGGTGGTGAGCTTTCCAGCCCCCTCTCCCACCCCCATGCAGGTTTCTAAATACGCTACAGGCCTGAGCACGAAACTGATGAAAATGACTGACTTTGCCTCAACGGTCACCAGCCCGTGAACGTGGGCGCAGCAGCCAACCCGCCTGGACCTACAGCCTCGTTTCCTTCGCTTGGCTGCACGGCTGTTCGGTGAGCCTCCTTCTGGCCAAGCCGATCACAGGAGCCCAGTGGCCTCTATATCAGGAAACGGGGTCTTACAAGAAATCGAGGTCTCCCTGTAAAGCTGCTTCACAAATTATACATATGTAATTACCCTCGTTGGGGCAGAAATGTAACAAGCCCCACAGCTCCAGGCTTGTGCCTCCTCACGGGACCTGCTGTCCATGCTCCCAGTACGTCACTGTGGGCATCGATGCGTTCTGGAAGGGTGGAGCAAATCCGTTTGCCGAACCCGAATCCAAGCCTCGCCTGGTTGCCTTCTCTAAGGCTTCGCCGTGGCGTGACGCGCGGGGTTGACGCTGCCATGCTGGGGGCTCCCTGCAGGCTGCAGGCCGTCCTTCCTGAGCGATGTCAGCGCTGCTCCTCCCATCCCTTCCGGCGACATCCACCGGGAGTGGGGCCGGGGGCCCCCCGGCCCACCCACATTCGCCTGGAGTTTGGGGAAGAAGGAGCACTCACAAGGGAGACAAAGCAGCAGCCACATGTCTCTTGTCTCTAACTTGACGTCATTTGGATTTCCCTTCCCTTACCAGTGTCCTGGTTTTCAGTTTTGTGAAGTGTTGTGACACGGGGGAGCAAAATTCCGGGATCTGGACGGAGACGAAGCCCAGGAAATGTGGAGAGAAAACATCTTCCATGCTGATGGACCTACGTGACCCCCGGTGACCCAGCCTTGGACCGGGCACGGTGTCTCATAAAGGCGCTCAGGATCCTGGTGGCTGTGGCTTCTGGTCAACCTCAGACTGACCCGTCCCAGGTGACTTGCTCTTACCACAGCCTGGCAGCACTGTGCACTCTGGGGGCGCTGCCCGCAGCTGGGGGGCCCCTGGTTCCTGGCCCCAGGGAACCTGCCACACATCGTCCATCTTTTAGAGACCTGATGTGATGGCTTATGCATGGCCCTGCTCGACCGGTTGGCAGGCGCCTCACAAAGCTTTCCGCCAGTCGGGGTGTTCCCTTCGCTCACTGACATGCTGGTTACTGCGCAATTTCTGATAGTTTCTAAAAATAGCGTGTCCAACCTTGGCTACAATCACAATCCTATTATATTGTTTCTATGGAGAAATTACCCAGTTTCTGTCATGGGAACTTCTAGTGCCTCTATTTCAGGAACAAAAGATGACACGCTGAACAGAAGAATGTAAATCTCCAGCCGCTTCAATGCGGCTAATGGTCAGTGAAAAGCCGGGGCGAACGTATTGTGTGAGGATCGTGTGCTTTTTTCTCCTGTGCGTTCACATGACAGGGACATGTCGGCCAGGGCGTCCCAGGCCCCAGGGGGAGCTGTCCCCATCCCCGCGACCAGCAGAGACAGCCTGCCGTGGGAGATAAAGAGACACCAACAATTAGAGGCCCCGCTGCTTCTGCCAAATATGGCTCCCGGGGCTGCCGCACTTGGCTGGTGTCCCTTTTCCTCTTGGGGTGGAGTCCCAATAGAGGACAGAGGTTATACTCCTGGCTCTTTCGGCCTTTGTGCTCAAAGCCTCTCTACAGATGCCATCCCGGTCCTCAACAGCCTCATGCCGGTCCCCAACAGCCTCCTCTCTCCTGCTGACACCTCCAAATCCCCATTTATCGTGGACGCGATAAAACTGAGTGGTGTCCTCTTTGGGTGGCCCCTGTTGGGGGATTGTAGTCAAACTGCATGAGGTCACTTATATGTGGGTTTTTTCAATAAATATGTACAGTACTGTAAGCATATTTTCCTTATGATTTTCTTAATAACATTTTCTTTTGTCTACCTTTCTTGTAAGAATACTGTATGTAATATGTATGACATAGAAAATATCTGTTAATCAACTGTTTAGGCTATGGGGAAAGCTTCCTATCCATAGTAGACTATTAGTTTTGGGGACTCAAAAGTGGACTGAAAACTGCCCGGGGGTGGGCACCGTCACCCCTACAGCTGAGCTGGCTCTCAGTGCTGTTTTCTGCATGGTCGGCCAGGGGGACCCCAGGGGAGGGTTCCAGAATTAGCCGCGGGAGCGGCAGCATCACCCCCACTTCTGGGGCTAGAACGCAACCACCAGGCCACACCTAATTGCAAAGGAGGCTGGGCCAAGCGGCCACGCTTCTTCCGGGAGTAAGAGGAAATGGGTTTAAGGAGCAGGCAGCCAACCTCCGCCACAGCTTCCTAGTGCATCACACCTGCGTGTTATAAGTGCCTTCATGAAGAAACTTGATTGAATGTTCTTCTGTGTTTAGTGCAAGAAAGAGGCAGCTGAGAAAGTCCAAAAGGCAAGGTTATGGTGGACGCTGGAGCTGGGATCAAACCTCCTCACAGATGTGCGCTCCAGTTAGGGATCTACTTCTCTGTCACCTGAATGGCCAATGGGCTGGGACGTGGGGACGGGTTGTCGTAATGGTCCTGGGAGCCCAGGGCTTTACAATCCCACCGTCCCAGTCTCCCCCAGCCCCATCTGCAGAAGGCTCTGCAGACCTCCCCCGCCTGCTTCAGGCCCAGCCCTTGCGACAGAGGAGCCCTCTGGGGCCCTGGCTCCACCTGATGCTGCCGAGGGGTGGGGGCGGGGGCGGGGAGCAGGGCGCAGGGCGGCATAAAGACGTCCCTCCTCTGGGTGCGAAAATCGCTCCCCGGGGAAGGCAGCTTGCGCTGACTCACACAGGGAAGCAGCCACACTCATTTGCTGCGTCCCCTGAAGCAAGTGTTACTTTATTTTTAACTAATTAGCGATTAAACAAAAGAGACTCCCTTCTTGTGTCCTCACTCGTCTAAATGCGGTGACAGTGCCAGCCCATCCAGACAACGGGGACGGCTGGGCCTGCCTGGTTCTCAGCCCCGCACGCCACTGCTGGGCCGCCCTGTCCAGGCTCAGAGCCCGGCCGGCTCTGAGCACGGAGCTCAGGGCCCCTCTACAGGGGCTCCACATCGAGTCCCCTGTTGGTTCGAGACCCGCTGACCAAGCACTTGCTCTGTGCCACGCAGCCTGCGCGGCCCGGCCCCTAGGAACTCCTCGGTGACAGGGCTGAGAGTGGCAACAATACAATTGCACTTACAACGTAGCGAGTGGGCCCAGTGTGCTGAGGGGTCCCGGGGTGGCCGCGGCCGGGTTCCTCTGGACCCCATTCCCAGCCTTGAGAGCTTCCCCGGGCCCTAGTCCCCTAGACGCAGGTTCCTCCCTAATCCCCAACAAAAAGCCAGGCCGCGCCGTGCTGCCCACCACACGCAGGCTTTCCCAGCACCAACACGTGCCCGGGCCTCTGAAGAGGACACGCTCCCTCCACGCCGGGCCCGGCTGGTGACTGAACGCCTGTCCCCAGCAGATGGAGGGGGTCTTCCTTCCAGCGCAGTTCCTAGCCTTCCCAGCAGGCGTGCTGCGCACCAAACGAGCTCGCTCGGCTTCACCTGGCCCGAGTTCGCCCTTGCCTGGCCTTGTCACAGTGCACAGCGGTTTGGCCTGGGCTTAAACCTTCACGTCCTCGAGCAGCGCCAAACAAGGGGTTCTCTGAGCTCTGTCTGTGTGGAGCTAATACTTCACCCATCGGAGCGCCTGCAGGTGACACATTCCTGCCCTCAGCGGCCCTGTGGGTTTCTGCCTCAGGAACCACAGAACCACCTCGCTTTACGGTGCTTTATAGAGATCATGTTTTTTACAAACAGAAGGCAAGACCTCCTCCGGGAACAAGATCACAGCTCGCTTTGTCTCAGTGGTCTGGACCTGAGCCCGCCGTATCTCCGATGTGGGCCTGTCATGGGAAGGTCATAAATGCCACAACCCTCGGGGTTTGTGCACAGATGTGCCTCAGCTCCCAGGACCCAGAGAACTAGGAAAAGGGAAGCCCTGGCCCACAGTCCCACAGTCCCACAGTCCCTGGGCCACAGTGCACATCTCTGACAAGGGCCCCCTGTGCTGCTGGGCCGCCCCTTCGCAGAAAGACCCCCGCCTGTTCTCAGAAGGCGAGTGTGGGAAGCGCGGCCTCCCCTGGGGGCGCTGGTGGGACCCAGGCTGCGGGAAGGTGCGCCTGGTGGGCCTGGCCTGAGGGTGTAAGGTGGGGGTGGGGACGGTGCTACCGAGCTTCCATGAGCCCCTTTGCTTCCTGCAGCTCATGCAAACCCTATGTTTGTTCCTGGGCCACCGTGGGAGCCCGCTGCTTCCTTCTCCCTCTGTCCCTCACCCTGCTCAGGTTTCCTGACACAACACCAGGGACACTCACGTCCTGGGAAGCAGGGCCATCCTCCTCCCCTCCTCCCCAGCCCCTCCCTGACCCCGCATTCAAGATGGCTGAGTACCAGATTGGAGGGGGACTCCAAAGAGAATAATAATTGCAAGTCTCCCTAATAGAAACCCTAAGGCTACCCCTTTGTTGAGGGGTTTGCTGTCCTGGGCAGGGTGGTGCTTTGTGTCCAAGGCGCAGTGCCTGCTCTCAAGGAGCTCACAGCCTAGACGCCCGGCCGGACCCCCAGGGCGGCAGAGACCCCACAGCGGGTGCCCCGCAGGGCCCGTAAATCAAGAGAGGTGAGGACACCTGGGAGAACAGCCAAGCGGCCGGGTGACAGGGTCCTGGCAGGGGTGGTGTTTTCCAGGCCGGGATTGTCAGTTTCTCTTCTGTCCCCAGGGAGTGGCCCTCAGAGGCCAAGGCAGAAGGGGGCAGTGCCGCTGGGGTGAAGTCGTCTGAGGCTATCAATGCACAAGAGAACATTCTGGCAGGACACTGGTGTGGAAGCATTAACAGGCTTTCCCCTTTCCTCCGCCTTTTCAGAGGGCTGTTTGCCTTTTCCTCAGGGAAGGATGGGAAGGGCAAGGGCAGAAAAAAGTCTTCCCGGCTTTGGCTTCCAAAGGCTTAGCCCTTGGGGAGTGGAGGGAGCTCTGGGCATAAACAGGATGTTGGGAGGGAGGGAGGGAGGGAGGGGAGGAGGGGGAAGGGGGGAGTGCCTTCGTCTCTGGTCTGTGCTCAGTCAGGGGGCCAGAGCCAGACCTGGGGGGCCCCTGGTCTCACCGAGGTGGCCCTGTAGGGGCCCATTGTCCCCGTCCCCCGCCTTATGCCTTCCAGTGACCTGAGTTTGAATTGCTGCCCCACGCTTTCCCACCACGTCTTGAGCAAGTTATTCTACTTCTCTGAGCTGCAGCCTTCGCACCTGTCAAATGGGGACCATGCTGGCCTGTCCCGGCGCTGCTGGGAGAGTCCAGCCCAGCCTGGCCCACACGTGCCAGCGCCTTCTGCCTCCCCGTCTCCCCTCTCCCACTCCTGCCCCTTGGTTCCCTGAGGACCCCGAGGCCTAACCTAGCCAGCCCTCTGCCGCCCGCGCCCTGCCGCCCCAGAGCTGGGCTCCCTCTGCGTCTCTGCTCCTCTGTTCCCTGACCCTGTTGCCTTCCCGGTCACTTGCAGAAGGACAGGCATCTTTTCTCTTTCTTCTGGCTGCATCTCCAGTCCCTCACACAGTGGCTGGCAGGCAGTAGGTACTGAGTAAGTATTTGTTTAGCAACACCTGTCCGTTCCGGTAGGAAAGGGGAGGGCAGTGGAGAGCAAGGCAGAAGGGACCAGAAGGCAGGTGCTGCCTCCGCAGAGGTGAGGAGCCTTTCTGGCATCCGCCTGTCCTGTGCTGCAGCCATGCTGGCCCCAGCGCTGTACGCCGGCCTCTGTGCAGCAGGTAAGGCCCCCTCCCCCACCTGCGCACACGCGCGCACGCACACTGGGCTCCATGCACCTCCCGGGCTCGGGGCTGAGGGAAGGGCGCCTTTCCCGAAGTTCCCAGATTTCGAGGCTGAAGGGGAAACAACGTGGAAGACAGTGTTTACAACTGTCCGCCCAGGCCTGGTGACGCAGACCCCAGGCCTGGCTGGCAGCCTCAGGCGCCGGCGGCTCCTCTCACCCTCCCCACGAGTCCTCGGCCCGGGTCCGGGGCGCACCACCTGGAGCCTGCCCTCCTGCATCTCATTGCACGCACTCACCTCCCCGCTGACACATCTAACCAACAGGTATTTACTAAGTGCCGACTAGGTGCCTGGCGTCGCCCAGCTCCCGTTCGGCAAGAAGACAATAAATGCAATTATTGCAGAATGTGACAAGGGCGGTGAAGGAAACAGGAGACGGGGTGTCAAAAACAAGAGAAAACGGGGGGACCAACTGTGACTCCTGGGTGGGGGCCGGAGATGCTGGACTGAGGGGTGCCGTCTAATGTGCTGGGGGACCGGGACAGAGCAGACTGGAGGGTGAGGCCGCGTGCGTGCGTGGACAGAATGACGGCCGGGCAGACACACGTGTGGGCAGCTGGGTGGCGGGGCGCGGGGGCTGGGCGGCCTGGGACGCTGTGCGACCCCCGGAGAGCAGCGGGGGAGATGGCTTCTCATTACAGCCTAAAATCAAGTTGGTGGGCCACGGCCAGTGAGCTTAGAAAATTACACAGAATAGGATTAAAAACGTCACAGTGAATCACACAGCCTAGAGAAGAGCAATATTTTTTTCCACTCCTTTTCCCAACACAGCGATTCTCCAGTTCTCAGTGACAGGCGGCTGGAACTGCGGTGGGTGTGGGGGGCTTTGCCCCTGCTGGCGGTGCTTTCTCGGTCCCTCTTCCTGTCCTCCCCCACACTGCGCACAAGCGGGACACTCTGCGTGCCCAGTTCTTCTGTCTTATTTTCCTCTCCTAGGGCCTCTGGCTTGAGGCTGGTGCCTTAGGGCCCAGGACCCCCAAGATCCTGGCCCGAGGCCCTCATCCCCCTGGACCCCGCTGCACAGGGCGCCTGGGCACAGCGGAGTAGCCCCGACCAGCCCTTGTTTGCTGGGGCCCTGGGAAGGGCACAGTGTCAGGAGGAAGGCAGCGGATGTGGAGGGCTGGGGGTTGGTTTCCAGAAGCTTGATTTGCTCCTTAGTTCATCTGTTCATTCATTCATTTTCAACATGTTGAGCCCTTCTAATGTGCTGGGAATGTAACGGTAAATATGGCTTGTTCTTTGCTCCCAAGTTGCCTGGACCCGGTGGTGGAGACATACAAGCAAAAAGGTCCTTTCCAAGCCAGGGCTTCTCAAAAATTCTGACGCTGGTCCCAGCAAACTCAGATCCTCGCTCGGGATGGGCACGAGCATCGGTGTGTCTGAAAGGCTGCTTAGCTGGTCCTGACGTGCGGCCCGGTCCCCCGCCCCCGGCCTAGGTCGGGGCAGTGGTGTGGGATGGCTCAGGGCCATGACACTCATGGTCCCTGGGTCCTGGCTCTACCCTTTCGCACTGGGTGGCCTTGGCCGAGTCACTTAACTCTCTGGGCCCTCCTTCCTCAGTTGTCAAACAGGTGCAGTGCCACTGTCCTCGGGTGCTGTTGGAAGGACCCAAGGAGCTAAGGGCACATCACGGTGCTCCATAAGCACCATCTGCAGAGGGGTGCGGGGGCACGCAGGCAGGGCACCTGCCCAGAATGGGGCAGAGGGGTGAGGCGTTTGCTGGGCAAAACGAAGCGGGAGTCGCGGGAGTCGAGGGACTGAGGGAGCGCAAGGGGGTGGCCAGTCCTTCCAGGCCAAGAGAATGGCTTGTGCGGAGGCGCGGCGGTGCGGAGGCGCGGCGGTGCGGAGGCGCGGAGGCAGAGCTGTGGGCCCCGGAGGGCCAGCGTCCAGGGGGGTCGGGAGGGGAGAGGCTGGGGAGGGCTGCCCGGGGCCCGGCTGGGAGCTCTCTGGGGACGAGGGGCGGGGTGGAGGTGGCCACACGGTGACAGCCCCTTCTGCCCCAGCCCTGCAGCTGGTGAGCGGCAGCAAGACCTTCCAGAGGGTGGAGGAGGAGCTGAGCTGGCTGGACGCCCTGCGGCACTGCCGCAGGCACTACACGGACCTGGCCGACCTGCAGAGCCTGAACAGCAGGAGCAGCGTGATGACCCTCTACACCCTCACCAGCGGCACCCAGGCGTGGATCGGCCTCTTCTTCGACGTGCGCCTTGGCAGCCTGAGCTGGTCCAGCGGTTCCACCTTCACCGCCCCTGTGTGGAGCTTGCTGCCTGTCTTCAAGGAGGGCATCTGTGCCACGCTGTACTCCATATCCATTGTCCCCAGCCTGGGGGCCGCCTTGTGTTCAGCTCAGAAGCCCTTCATCTGCTACTACGGTGTGTTCACAGACATATTCTGGGCTGCTCGTCAAGAGCAAATGAAAGCAAGAGAGCTCAGGTCTTTCTGAGGATAACTATTATCTTAGTCTTGTTTGCCACATTCCCCTCTGCGGCCTTAACTTCTGTCTCTTCTGAGAGATGGGTATAAATCAGGGGAGAGAAAGGGAGCAGGAAGGCCAAGACAGGCTGGGGAGTCATAGGCATCTATGCAGAAATGAGAGCAGAATTCAGCGTCTGTCACCCTCTCATAAATCGCAGGGTGGTTTTGTCTCCTGGGGGTGGGAAGTGTGGGGCAGCCACTCTCTGGGGGACCCCCTGCTTCTGGGAAGTAGGTGGGTGCAGCGGGCTCCCAGAGGCATCTCTGCAGGAAACCCACCGTCAGCACTCAGCGCGCATGGTGCTGGCCAGCCTTGCCCCTGGCCGGCCCCTCTGCCCAGGCGGCCCACGCCACTGACCTTTGAGATCACTCAGGGGCATGGCCATAGACCAGGGAGCACTTTCCTGTAAAAACTGCCAGTTTCTGCTTTTCTCACCATCAGTCAAGGCCCCACTCAACTCTATACCACCCTGGCCCCTCAGGTCTAGGCGCGGAGGACCGACATGATGAGTCCCCATTTTCCACCATGCCTGCCTGGGGCCTTGGACCATAGCCCCGGTGGCCCAGGTTTGACCTGGGATTCCGAATGCAGTGGGAGCCGCGTGTGTGGTGGAGGCCCCGCAAGGAAGTGTGTGCGAGGCACATGCCGCACTCCCTCCGTGTCTCAGGGCCTCACCTGGACCTCCCGACTCCCCCATGTCCCCCCTCACTGCTCTTGTGCTCACCAGCACACTCCTCGCTTGTCCGGCTCTGTCCCACTTGCAGCTGCTCTTACATGATGAACTCTTATAAAGCCAGACCGCTTTGCTTAAACACATTCAACAGACCCCCTTAGCACTTAGAATTGTACTCCTTTGGCAGCTGCGAGGCCCTGCTCCATCGTCTTGGCCTTGTCTCCCACTTCTCTCCCTGGCTGCGTGGGGTCGCTTGCTGCTTCTCATACCCACGCGGCCTCTCCCCACCCAGGACCTATCCTTGGCCTGGCTGGGGTCTTCCTTGCTAACCCTCTGCAAGGCTGGCTCCTTCTCATATTCTCTTTGAGAGCAAAGATCCTGCTTGTCTTATTTCAGCTATTTTTCCAGGGCCTAGAATAGCATCTACCACACAATAGAAGTGCGCACGCGCATGCGCGCGCGCTCTCTCTCTCTCTCTCTCTCTCTCTCTCTCTCTCTTAACTAAATGGAAATGGGAACCCAGGAGCCTGTCTAACTTTGAGCTAGGCTTCTCCCAGCTTCAGTTCGGCCCTTCCTGGCACCTGCAGAGGACGCCGGGCAGCCGCACCCCTGCCCTGTCGCTGAAGGTCTGCTTCTGTTTCCCAGACCCTGACAAGGGCCACAGCAGCCTCGTGGAGCCCGCTCTCAGCCTGACCACCTCTGCAGAGACAGGCATGTACCGAGGAGCCCTGCCTTCCCCTTGACTTGCCCACCCGGACCAGAGGGCAAGGTTGCCCCTCCGCCTGGCGGGGGACCCCGTCCCTGGCTTTGTTGCCCCCAGGCCAAAGCCCCCAGAGAGGGTCAATGCCTTGATTAGTAAACGGACCCAGAGGGGGAGGTGACTTGATCAAGGTCTCCATCCGGACGGTGGCAGAGCTCAGGCTGCACCCCAGCCGTTCGGACGCCCCCCTCAGTGGCTGGGGGGTGGGGGCGTGGGTGGCTCGCAGCCCGGGCCCGTCCGCCTGGTCAGGGGGTTTTCTCCTCTGGATGTCACTGCCCTGGTATTTAAAATTATTTTTTCCCCTTCGTGTCCGGTGTAGAGAAGTTCTATGACAGAAAATTCACTCCCCACTTAGCCTGTGTTGTGCAGCTGGCTTTCTGCCTGCTACGGAACATGGGGTTGTAGTGTGGAAAGGACCGTTTTCCAAGGGCAGGCACACAAGCGTGTGACCCTCGTCTTGCCATATAACATGGCATGAGTTTGGGCAAGTCGTCACCTCCTGGAGCCTGTCTTTCTCCTCTGAAAAATGCAGTTAGTAGCATCTGCTTCCCAGGGTTGCATGAGGATTTAAGGAGACCATGCATCCCCTTGCAGGCTCCGGGCTGGAGAGAACTTGGTGCTGAGTGAAGGGGAGCTTTAAACGTCTGTGTGGATGGGGACAGTGAGGGGCCTGGCAGGCAAAAAGCGTGATCCGTTCCCGTGAACAGGTGTGGGTCAGAGTCCGGGGGCCCCATTTGAATCTGAGGATGTGACTCCCAATTCTGCAAACAGAGCTGTTCCCATTCTCAGGTCTCCGGAGTCAATACTCAGGCAGTGTCAAAGCCCGTCCTTCCCAAACCTCCACCACTTAGAATCACAGGTGTGCGGTCTCTGTGTTCTTGGCCCCCAGAGGTGGTCCAGATCGGCAGCCGGACCTTCAGGCGGTTCAACCAAGGAGCGACGTGGCTGGCGGCCCTGCAGCGCTGCCGTGCCGATCAGACGGACCTGGCCGACCTGCAGACGGTGACCGATGAGGCTGCCAAGGAGGCCCTGAGGTCCGTCACCAGCGAGACAGAGGCCTGGATCGGCCTCTACTTCAACGCGGCCTCCGGGTCTCTGAGCTGGTCCAGCGGCCTGGGCGCCAGCATCCCCGAATGGCTGCAGGTGCCCAAATTCGGGACAGGACTGTGTGCGGGGCTCCGCACCTACTACAACTATGCCCCCAGAATTTCCTCAGTGGCCTGCTCTTCCCTGCGGCCGTTCATCTGCTTCTACGGTGCGTGGCAGTCCGCCGCACTGGCCCTCGGCCCGCCAGGGCGAGAAGGGGATGGGAAGTAGGTTTGCTCGGCAGCAGGAGACACTGAGGATAGACCTAAGGGAGCACCTCCCGTCTGAGGGTAACTGGGCTCTGGAGCAGAGTTGAATTCAATTCCGGGCGCTCCTTAAAGAATGGACCGGGGCCCCTCTAGCCTCAGGGCATTAGCAATTTGCAACAGGAATTAGTTATTGGGCAATGAAGTGGCTGAAAGCCCGGGCTTTAGGAGCACACAAATTTTACTACCCGTGGGGAATAGGTGGGCAGCCTGTCTGAGCCTCCTTTTCCTCACCTGGAAAATATACTTCACAAAGTGGTACTGATGACCCACTTCAAAGGGCAGCTTTGGGATGGACTGAGGAGCAATATAAAGACCTAGGAGAGGCCTTGGCACAGAGCAAGCACCCAACAGACATTAACGATTGTCGTCATTGTCACTCGGAATGCGTGGGAGCCAGCGGTCACCCTGGTCATTCTGGATCTGTGTCTAGTATGTCCCCTCAGCAGCAGGCCTTGTTCCTTCCTTCTCTCTTTTCTTTTTTTAATTTTTCCTCCCGTCCTTCCTTTTTTTGGGGGGGTGGGGTGGGTAATAGCTTTTTTTGTGTGTATGATATAATTAACATACCTTAAAATTCACTCTTTGGAAGTGTCCCATTCAGTGGGTTCCGGTACAGTCACAGGATTATCCAATCAGCACTATCTAACTTTATACATTTTTATCAGGCCCCAAGAAACCCCTTGTTCTGTAAAACAAGGACAATACTTCCTCCCTGGAACAGCTGTTGGGCGCATTAAAGGCGGGAAAGCCCCTCTCCTGTGGTTGGCACAGGTCGGCGTACAACACACGCATCCACCTGGGTTCGGCTACCGTGACAGAGGCTGGTCTGGCGGTACCTGGCGGGCGTCCTCCCAGGCCTGGTGGGTGTGACAGGCCTGGGGAGCTCTGTGTCCCCTCCACCCACTCAGCCTTTCCTTGCAGACCCTGCCATTGGGCACCAGGAGTCAGCAGCGCTCCCCCAGCTTGACTACGTCCCCACCTCGAAAGTGACCATGGGGATGACGTCCAGGCCAGGTACCCGCCCCTTCCCCTGCTCTGTAGGGGTGCATGGCCCGTTCTTGGCTCGGTCCTGGGGTCTCCAGGCCCGAGAAGTGGAGAGGGCGGCCTGTAAGCGGCAGCACTGGGTGGGTGCCAAGGGTCCCCCGTGAGGGACTTGGGAGAGGCCAGAAGAGAGGTGAGCCAAGAGGGTGGCAGCCAAGGGCCACTTACACAGAGCGGGGGTTTCCCTGTGCCCCCCACCCAGTCGGCGGGCTGGGGTTGGGAAAGAGAGGTCTCAGTGACCATCAACCTCCCTCCTTGAAATGAGCCACTGAACTCGCAGTTCCAGGGCCTCAGGCGAGGTGACCAGGGCCTGAGACTTGAGCAGAAAAGTCCTTGGAGGCCTCCGAGGTTGGGCGTCCAGAGAGAGGCGCATCCGAGAGGCACCGTCGGACCCCTTCTAGTTCTGGGGTCACCTTCTCAGAGGAGGGCTGGGCTGGGGGACCCTGCTGCGGCAACGGGGCTGGGAAGGGACAGCGACGGCCTGCTCCTTGAGCATTTTTAAATTCCTGAAACCTCTTCCCAGCCGTTGCCTCGTCTTGCTTCCCCAAGATGCGAGGCTAACTAGGATACTGAGGGCAAATTCACAGCGGTCCTGGCTTCTCCACGGACCCCTACCCCAGAGAAAAGCGTGACTGGCTTTTTTGAGGACATGGAGAAAGCGAGGGGACTGGCTCACAGAGCTTCATTCATGCTGGGGACACAGAAAAGGCAGGGCCTGTTCCGAAGGAGATGGCAGCCAGCTGGGGGAGAAAGTTGTCAAAGGCGGTGCTGCCTGTATGGTCACACGCATGGTGGGGACGCAGAATGGAATGGTCCCCGCTCCTGTGATTACCAGGGCATTTCCTGGAGGGGGGGATTTTGAATGCAGAGACCTTCGCTTGTAGAGGGGAGTGGAGGTAGGGTGGGTGGGGGCTTGCAGGTAGGAGATGCAGGTGGATTGGGGTGCTGAGGGGGGGGGTCCAGATCCTGCAGGCCCCTGCCCCCCCACCCTCCCCTTAGGCTGCTTCAGAATGTGACCTTCACCCTGTAGGCCTCGGCGCCAGGGCCAGGCCTGTGGTCAGGTTTGGTTCAGGAGCCCAGAAAGCGCCTATCTTCTGCTCTCCATCTAAGGTCTCAAATGGCACCCGGCTGCCCCAGGCCCGCTGGCCACCCAGGCTGTATGCAGCGGGCTCAGGAGGCCCTCCCTCCTCACCTGTCACAGTGGGTGCCCAGGGCTGGGCGCCAGGAGCCGAAGGGTTGCATCAGGGCCCCGGGGGCCACCGCCCCACACAGGGTTCCTCCCTCCTGCCCGCGCCCCGCGCCGGCACCCTGGCCCGGGGCCTGGGGCCTTGGCCGGGGTCCCAGGCGCGGCGTGCGCCCACGGCAGTCCCTCTCGTGCTGCAGGGACCAGCGCCCACCCTGCGGCGGCCCCGAGGGACACCTCTGTCCCCAAGGTCACACCCTGGAGCCCGCTGCTCACTGCCCAGAGCGCGACCTCGCGCACCCACGGGACCCCGTGACCGACGGCAGGCCCGTGACTCCGCGGGGGAACAGCCGCAGGCTCCTGGTTCGGCTCCCTGCCCCCCACCCGGCGATACCCTTGAGTCAGCCACATACCTCCAGCCGTTCGGCGGCTCCGAGCCTCCGGGGGTCGGGGGGAGCGGGGTGCTCCCCGGGGCCTCCCGGTTCAGGGGGCCCTGCTGGGCCGGGGAAACAGCGCGCCTCGCGCGGGGACCGCTGGGAGCCGGCCCGGCGCAACACGGGCCCTCCCGCGGGCGAAGCCGGGGCTTAAGGACCCCACCTGGCCGGCCAGGCTCGGGGGTGCCGGGCCACGGTCTCCCGGCCGGGGCTGCGTCCCCGGCCACGCTGAAGGGTCCTCCACGGCCAGGGCCGCTCCCCCTCCCACCCCCCGGCTAACCGTGCAGGGCGGGCCGTCCCGGGGGAAACAATCGCCTTGGCTGCGGAGACGGAGCGCCGGAATGTCGGCTCCACTACTGGCTGCGTGGCCTCAGTCAAGTTTCCTAACCTCTCGGAACTTCATTTTCTCATCTCTGAAGAAAATTACCATTGTCATGAGGTATCTTTCAGTGCCTGCGATCTGGCAGATACTCAAAAAATGGTAGTTATTACCGCTTTAATCTCAATTCACTAGTGAAATGATCAGCGATTCATTCATTTCCTGCCTCTGTCCTTACCTTGGACAGAGTACACTGGATAGACAGGGCTGGCCTCATTCTCATCTTATTAATTATAAATGATTACGAATGATCACAATCATGAATTAGGGAGATTGCGGGGTCTCACAGGCCGGGACTGTTTTATATCCCTCTTTGCCGCTTTTCCAGGCCTAGCCTAGCGTTTTGCACTTCGGTAGATGAGTTCATTCAGCAACCATTTTCCCGAGCACCTATTTTGAACAAGGCATTGAACTGTGGGTGCCAAGGCGAACAGGACCTTTTCCTGGTTTTACAGGTGCCTGTAGGCTCCTAGGGACGAACAGAGGCAGCCGGGCAGCCTGGGAGCGCTGCCCTGGGGGGGGGGGGGCTTTCATTCCACCTGGGAAGGCGGCGCAGCGGTCCCCTCTGGTCCAAGCGGTCACCTTCCTTAGCCTCTTCCCTGTGGTCAACCAAAGTCCAAAAATGGGCATTAAATGGAAAATTCCAGAAACAGACAATTCATAAGCTTTAAATTGCGCTTTGTTCTGAGGGGCGCGATGAAATCTTGGGCTCTCCCACTCTGCCTGCGCGGTGTAGCAATGATTTATTTTCAGCCAGTGCGCCCCAGGGATTTTTAAAACATGCACTACCTGGCTATTTAGTCAGGGCACTGACCTCTCTTCTCTTAGACAATCAAAAAACAAAACAAAACAAAACAAAAAACAAAATAGACAACAGCCTACATAACAATAGCTGTCCAGTGTGAATGAATAAAAATTACAGCCATTTTTTGGGTCAGATTAGCAAAAATATATAATTTTTGGTGTGCTGCAGAATTTTTGTAGTTTGTGTGCGCCATGAGATGAAAAAGTTGCAAACTGCTGAGACAGTGAAGACATCCACATAACTTTTATGACAATTTATAGTCATAATCTTCTTATTAGTTACTGTTGTTAATCTCTTCCGTTGCTTAATTTATAAATTAAACTTTATCATAGGTATGCACGTATAGGAAAAAAACCAGGGTATATTAGGATTTGGTCCTATCCACTGTTTCAGGCGCCCGCGGAGCAAACTGGAACATGTCCCCCAGGGATAAGGGGCGACGATTGTAATTGGACAAAGGTAGCAGCGGATTTCATCCGCAACAGAGGAGGTGGTTCCCCCCGGCAGAGAGATCAGCTCGGGCAGAGACAGGAGATTTGAAAAAAGTGTGGTTTGCGAATGACGACGAGCAGCCTGATGGGAGCAGATGCAGGTCAGGTTTTTGGGAAGGGACAGGCCGGGGCGAGCGGAAGGAGGTAGACGGGGGCCCAATTCCGAAGGCCTTGACTCCGCAGCCCGCGGCGGGGCCCTCAGAGGTGTTTGGTGCGCATACAACATGCTCAGATCTGTTGTTCATAGAAGCCAGGAAGTTGCGATGACGGGACAAACGGCTGCTGCGTGAAGATGCTAAAGAAAAAGGCAGGATTCGACATTATACATGCAACGCAGTCACAACAATGTTGAAAGGAAACATCAACAGATGGGGGGAAATGCGTGAAAATGTTAACAGTGGTGATAGACAAGGGATGAGGTGTGTTTCTGGACTTTCCAGAGTTACTCCTTTAATTAAGGGAATGCACAGTGCGCGGGGGCGGGGAAGAAGAGGCCACGCGGAGAGGAGGGAGCGAGCGTCCGCGTGGGGCCGCTGCTGCGTCCGCGGGGGTGGAGCCGGGCCAGGCCTGGAGCTGCAGAGTTGCGAGGGGCCCCCAGGGAGTGGGTTTTCCACCGCGTGCAAGTGTCAGTAACTGAAGAAATATAAATACACATTTTAAAAAATGCTCAGCTTTGTTCCCTTTATCACAGAAATGCAAATTAAAAGCAAGAGGCATTTTTTTTTTTCCCCAATTAACTCCTTTTTACTTACCAGTTTGGCAAAGACTTTGAAAGGTGATAAAGCCGATGGGAACTGGGCAAATCAGCGCTCTCGGGCCCTGCGGGGAGAGGAGCTGGCACTGCCGCCCCCGCAGCGCGAGTCCGCTCTGAAAGGCTCCCGCCCTTCCGCGCGGAAACTCTCCCGTGGACCTTTATTAAGGAAATAGTAGGACGAGGGGCGCGCGCACACACACGTACGGGCTTGTTGGTTGCTGTTTATTACACTGAAAAACTGGAGGCAATCTAGTATCCACTGAAAGCAAATAGGTTAAATACGTCCGGGTACGTTCAGTGAAATACTGTGCAGCCTTTCAAGAGAATAAGGTAGGTCTTGCCGCATTCAAATTAAAAAAAAAAAAATTCAAGTTAATAGTGGTTGTGCCTGGGCCAGGGGAGGAATACTTTTGCTTGACTATTTTACAATAATATACCGTAAAAGCAAATGATTATTTCTGTATTTTAAGTAAAAAGACATCTGCAAGGCACTGACAGGACTTTGGTGACTGAACATGAGAGCCAGTGACAGGGAGTAAGGGAGCAGCGGAGGGCGCCCGGGGTCTCTGGCGGAGGCTCAGCAGATGGCAGCCACGCGGGGCAGAGGAGCCTGCGGGTGGAGGCCAAGCTCGGCTCTGGAACACTGTGAGGTTGACGTGCTGTGCCTTGATGGAGATGCTGGGGGTCCCTGAGCGCCGTGGTGGGGCTCTGTGTGGCTGGCAGACAACATAAGGGGACTGGGCCTTTGGGGTAGGAACTACGGAAAAATAAACATTTGTTACTGAGTAGAAATCTCCTAACGTTGCACAAGCCCCACCAATCCTGTGTCAGGGACACTTTGTGGGAGATGACAGTGTAGCAAGGCAAGGGCTGGCCCACCCCCCAGCCTCAGGGAGTCAGAACATTTTCTGTCTGCCGCAACTGTGTGCCCCGCAATGGCAGCGCATGCCTGTCTCCCAGCACAGGGGCGGGCGGTCACCAAGCTCAGACCGCCTTGCTCCTGGCGATCTTTGCAGTAACTCCTTCATGTTCCTTTCCGTAGCCGTGCCCAGCGAAGGAGGTGGCGCTGGGATAAGAGACACAGCTACTGCCCCTCAGGCCCAACATGTGAGCACATCTAACCACCCAAAGTCACAAGAAAAAACTCCAGCACCAGAATCAGGTAACTGCTTCCGGTCACCAAGTTCCCGCTCTTGACAACCAAGCAGTTCAATCTGACAGCCACTCCTTAGCACAGAGTACTCGTGACCTTTCTATGAAAGGCGGCAGGACACGTTGGGAAGGTTCGGAGCAGCTATCACTAGGAGGAACAGGATGCGGACCCCGGAGTTCGCGGCCTGACTACAGTGAAAAGCCAGGGGCATCTTCCCCGCTTCGGAATCTCTTACTTCTTGCCTGCAAAAGGGGACGGTAGGAACTGCCCTGAGTACATCCCTTGGCTGCTACAAACACCCAATGAGATAACTATGTGCTTTATAAATTATCAGCTGCTGTGCAAATAGAAAGTCACCCTACTATGGGCCGGTGGTTCCCGTGATGGTTACAGTGGCTCCCGGCCCAAGGCTGAGCTTGCCTGTGGGCTCGGAGGAGTTCGAGTTTCCCAGGGTAGAGGGGCCTTCGCAGATGAGGGCCTGGGGAGGGGTGTCTGTTTCCAGCATGGTGTGCAGCGCCTGCTTAATAGTTATTGGAGGGAAGGAGGAAAACACAGAAAGGAAAGCAACTGTCTGGTGGCGGGGAGGGCCAGCATTACCCCTCACCGATGTAAGACTCTCCTTGCGGCCACTAGTTGGTCGGTCCTAACTGTGGCTGAGCATTCTCCTGTTCAGTGGTTTCTTTCTTCTCCCTCTTTGAAATCCTCAATCACCATGTACCGACTGTGGTGTCCAGTGTGTACTCCTCCTGACCGCGAAGAACCTGAAGTTTTCAAATGGCAAGAAGATAATTTCCCCCAATCCAGGTAGCACGTTCTTTTTCAGGGCAGATCTTTGGAATCCTGAAGGCAGATTTCACCATTCCAGCTCGGATGGACCCAGAAGACATGAAAGACCAAGTTTTGAGTGAGGTGAGACTTCTGCCCACATCCAGTTTTGATCAGATGACTGGACAATGCAAGGCAATAGTGTCAAAACCAATACAGTGAGAGCGAGCTTTGGAAAACTAGCTCATCTGTTCCCATTGCCATCGCTTTGGTTCATGGTGAAAGGTTGGTTCATGTGCTGAGACCTTTTTCAGGTCTTTTTCTTACTCTGGTCATCAATTTTCTTGAGCTCTTAAAGAAAAACAGAACAAAACAATGAGACAGCATAGTCCGAAGGATCTGAATTTGGGGCTTGGCGTTCCACTTATTAGTTGTGTGACCTCGGGCAAGTAACTTCATCTTTGCGAGTCTCAGTTTCCTCATGAATTAGGAACAACCGTACCTAACTCACACGGTTGGCATTTTGACTAAATGAATTATTCCAAGCGCTTAGCAAATTGGCACATGGTAAATGCTCAAGAAACACAAACATTAGCTATTATTTATCATTATCAACATTATTGTCATTCTCAATATGCATTTCTCCCAGGCTTTTTTCCCTTGTTTTTTTTTAAAGTATGTGAGATGGGAGATTGTCAAGAGGAAGAATTACTCATAAATATTGTGAAAATACGGCCTCGGGGCACGTATTTCAGTTATATCAGCTAACGATACAGGATCAGAGCCAGAGTTCCTGAGGGGTCATCTAGCCAAAACCATCATTTTATGAACAAGGAAACAGTTTGGCCTTTAATTGGTAGCTTATTGCAATGTACTCACGGGCCAAAAAAAGAACACCCTGGCAATTTATTCTAAAATCTCACACACTCAAGTTTCCAGAAAGAGCGATGGGGGTGTGTGTGTGCACGCGCGTCTGCCGACCAGGGAACGGGGAGGGGAACTGCAGAGCTTTCAGTGCATTTTGCTATTGAAGGGAGAACAGGTGCAAAAGATGCAATTCAGCATCTGATACACTTTTTCTTTTTTCTTTTTTCCTTGGTAAAAGTCCAAGTAATGAGACTGCAGTGCTGAGCACCAGGTCTATAAAAGTCAAGGACTTTTTTGGAGGGTGGCGGGGGGACTAAACCAGAAGCCATCTACCCTCCATTTTAAATTAAAGCCAATAAAGGAAGAGTGGGGTCAAAGTGGGTAATTACATTTTCTAGTCACCTTTGTTGGGCTGTATTCTTTATTACTGGAGAGAACTTTTTCCTCATAGATTTAAAGGATGGAATTGGTGGCGACAAGGTGTGTGCAGGGAGGGAGGTATATGATTAGTTTTAGCAGCATTTTAAAGTTCCAAATAGAAGGCAAAACACCTGTAGCCAACTTATCCCAGGGACAGGGACGGAGAAACATGGGCGCACACACGCTGCGCTCAGAGCTCGCTGTGGTCGCGTGGCTGTCACCCCGGCTGAGGTCGGACTCCCCCGGGGAAGTCAGAACGGAGCCTGGCCGCAGTCCTCAGACGGATCCGCTCGATCTGGTCGGTGGCGGAACTCGAAGGCATCCCTACCGTTTTTTGTTTTTTGTGTTTTTTAAAGTTCTGAAGTGATTCTGATGAACAGTCCCGCTTGAGAAGCACCAATTAAGTGATTGACTTTAGCCTCCTTTGTCATCAAACTTTTTCCTTTTGTCGGGGGGGCGGGGGGGGACGGGGCATGGTGATAGAGATGACAAGGTCACAAGACAGTATTAACAGGTTTTCTCTTTTTGATGTTCCAGATGCAGGAAGTCTTGGAGCTAACGCTAGGTCACAAGCAGTTCAGACTGACGTGGGTCAGCCACGAAGTAAAGAAAAAATAGCTCACGCTGGCTCATCTGAGGGCTCGTCCTCACACGATCCTGGCTGGGGTTTGAGCACATTTCCGTTCCTTTAGTTTCAAGTAGCTCAGAATGAGAAAGAACTGCAGAGCCCGGGAGGGGCTGGGCTCACAGTGGAACTTAGATCTCCCCGCAACCGAAAAGAAAACCACCTGTGCAACCCACAGTCCTGGACTTCACAGAATGAAGTCGGTGAGCAAGAGACGGTGCAGGTATTTGGGAACAATAACTTGGAGGATGAGCAAACAAGAACAGAAAAACAAAACCCTGAAACAAACCCCATTAATCCGGGGAATTAAGAGAGGACAGTAGTGGTCTCTAGTGGAGCCACACTTCCAAGTACAGTGGATACTTTCTTTCCCAGCGACAATCTGTTCAAAGGATTTCAAATTAAAAATTAGAAAGAGGAGCTCTCTCGGGTGTTACCACAGTACCACACTCTATGTTTGTGCTATTTTTCTTAAATCTAAATATTTCTTACCCCTAAGTTGGGAAATTCTAAGGCATTGTTCTTGATGTTAAAATACATCTTCAGAATAATGGTCTTGCAAACATTGTTTTTCTCTGGTTTCTCTCCCAGGGTCCTAATCCCCCAGAGACATGCAAGAAGTAAGAGAGTAATGATTCACATACTGTAGCAACTTTAGTCTGAAATGTTTAAAGTTTATTTGTATTCTTTGTAGGATTATCAATAAAAGACCTCAAACGTATCTATATCTGTACATGTACAAGAACCATCAAAAATTATTCACAGAACAAAAATAAATCTTCTTTAGAACAAACCCAGGTAATGAAATGCAGATATGGATCTCACATATGGAACAATCTAAGTGCTACCAGCACAAAAATATGGCTTTAAAAAGAAAATAAAACCTTGGGTTTTGTTTTTCTAAGGTGTATTTCTCTTTCTTGAAATAAAAAATAAATTATTTAGAGCTATCATTGTAAAATAGTTATGTGTATTAACACACTTTTATTAAGGCCCTGGAGATGAAAAACGAAAGCAAATTTAGACGGTAAATTCCTCACAGGAGTGGTTCAGGTGAAATGTGCTGCTGTCTGCTCGAGTTAATTTTAAGGTAACTAGGAAATGTCTAAGCACCAGTCAAACTTTAAGCTTTACTATTTATTTCAACTTTTCTGCAGGATAGTGGTCACTGAATCAATTAGCATTTAACCTTTTGGTGAACTGAGAATTGAATTTTTTCCCTTGGGATCTTAGAAATGACACGGATGTGATATTTATACATAGGTAGGCAACCCCCACGCAGCTGATGGAGGCCCCTAAAACACAGCGTCTGTGGAAATCTCTCTAGAACAACAGAGAAAGCGGATTTTAGGTCCTGAACTAAATATTTCCTAGAAAAAATGAGGGTATTTCCATGAAAAACAAGAACTAAGTAAGAAATTAAAATGCATGTTGAAGTTTGGACAAAAACTACTCTTTTGTGTTTCTTGGGTGGCTTCCCACATTTGCCAAATCTGGCTGGGTGGCGTGCGCCAACACCTGAGGGTTAGCTGATGGGAACCCAAAGGGCTTCTCTGTGGATCCCCCTGGTCTTCACTCATCCGAATCCAGATCGGTGAGACTCAGCTTTCTTTCCGTGACTCCCCCAGGTATCAACAACGATACCTAGGGTTCTTGAGACAATGTCAAACCAAGTCAACTTCAAATTACTTTAACTTATATATATATACATATAACACATATAGTACATTTTTAAAAAGAGAGAACCACTGTCATAAAAATCTAACAGACAAGAGCATACATTCTAAATGACCCAAGAAAATCTGGGAACCGCTGCTCCAGGAGGTGGATTAACATTCAGAAAGAGGAAGCCCTAGGCACTGCGCGTTCGGTGTGGGGGTGTACGTGCTGGCCACGGAGACTGCCTGTCCACAAACCTGTGTGTTTGAAGAGCAGGCGAGGGCTGCGAGTCCTCCTGCTTCCTCGAGCCCTCGGGGTCCTGAGGAGGCTGCAGGGCACGGCGCCTTTTTGGGTCAGGGCATCTTCCTCAGGCTCTTTCACTCCTCACAAGGCAGTTTTCCTGTCTCAGGCAAAGCTCATCACTTCTGTCCTTCCTAAGCTCAAGAGCTCCCTAACTGGGTCCCGACGACAAGAGAATGCTTCTCGAACTAGTAACAATCACTCAAACATAAAAAGATTCTATTAAAAAAATTCAACACCCCAGTATAGCTTGCTTTTAAAAATCTAGTAAAATAGGTCCCTTCAATGGACATATTGATAGAAACAAAGTATCCCGAATTCTTGGCCCCTGGGTGGGAAGGAAGGCGAGTGGCTACTGCTGGGGCCAGCAGGAGCCCCACCCCTGGTCGGGGGGCGGGGGGGCAGGGAGGAGGACGCCCTTTCCGCCGTCTGTGGGAGGGTGGCCTCCGGGAGTCCAGTGAGGCTGCGCGTGGGCTCCAGTGCTGCCAAGTCAGGCCCAGTGACAAGTCCAGTCTGGCGTCAGGCCTGGGGCTCAGGGTCACGAGGGACAGGGCAATCCTGAGGAGGGTTCCTGCCTGAAGCCCAGCCCCACAACCAGCCTCTCAGGGACTCCCAGCTGGAGACGACCAGAGCCGCGCCCGGTGGGAGGCAAAGCAAACCCTAACGCAAGCTCACTTGATGGCAATCATCTCGCTCTGGGACTTCCGAGAAAGGACTGCTCCTAACTGGTGTAACTGAGGCCAGCGCGAGGGCCAGGGGCTGACAGAACTACAGACGCACAAACAAAGGCCACAGGTGGACGAAGGTGCGGGAAGCCTGACTTCTAGAGTCAGGCCAGTTCCCAAGGGCACGCAGCAGCCGGGGACACAAAGCCCCGCTCTTCCTTGCGCTGTCCAACGGCGGCGCCGGGGAACGTGGGCGCGACCCGCGGCAGCTAGTTCTGACCAACTCGACACCCGGTGGGAAAAGCCAAAGCTGTGGCAGCACAGCCACCTTGGTTTGCCACCTTCCCTTCCCGACACGTTGCCCTGCACCTGTACGAGGCGCTCGAGCATTTGCTGCAGTTGCCTTGCCCTAACCTCTCCTGTCAGGGCCTGTATTGCAGAAACTCAGGGGATATATCACGTGATGGAAATGTAGCTCTTTTTGCTGCACTGGCCCAGAAAGCTTATTGCTCCAGTGACATGAAAGGGGAATAGGAAGCTCTTTTCCTGAACCCTACCAGCACTGTCCTTGTTAATAGCCCAGTCTGGTGGTCCGCTGGCCAAGCACTTAGCAAGCAGGACCCCTGCCCTCCGAGTTCCACTGCGCCCTGGTCTCTGCTGCACCCCGCGGTGTGGTGATGTGCTGGGTAGACAGGGCGCGGGCCCGGCCCCCTGACTCCACCGCGTCCTTGCCAGGTGCCTCCTCCTGGCAGCCCCGGCGCCGGCACCCACCTGCGCTGAGCAGAGCCAGTGCGGCAGTGCCTCCGTGGCAAGTCAGCTGCTGCCGCCCTCTTCCGAACATAAGGGACAAAACCTTATTCTGCAGAATAAGCTCTGTCGATTGCAGTGTTCTTTAAAGAAAAACTGAGATATTTGGGTAGAAACAGGCTCAAAAAATCATCTAAAATTTAACACCTGGCAACCACTCTGAATTTCTAGCTTACTTCTAACTTTGTGAGTTTTTTTACTCTCTTCACTCAAGACAACCTGATGATAGAGGGCTGCATAATCTGTCCAAACATTGGGGCATTTAATCTCCCAAAGCAGGCAGCTCAAAGGAGTGCCCCCGCGCCAACAAGATAAACTGCATCCATCAAAAACAACATTTGATGTTGTATGTCTCCCCCAATCTCTGGGTCCAGGTAAGTTTATCAGCTCTCTGTAATCCATAACCAACACCTGAGAGCCTCCGAACCTCAGGCAGGACGTCTCCAGGCTACATACTTAAGGCCCTTGGAACCGACAATTCTTTTACCAGGTTTTCTGCAGCACAGTGGAAGGCTTTTTAGAAAGAATGAATCAAACCCGGCTAGAGCTGAGAAACAACAGACCTATGTTTATATTCCACCCTCCCAGCAAAGGGTACTACTGCAGAATTGGTTAATTTTTTTCCCATTAAAATAAGTGATTTATACCAGTGTACCCTCGGCTTGGAGGGGAGAGAGAAGATTTTGTAAAATAACCACCAAGGGTCGAGGAAACACACAGGCACCGAGCCCGGGGCAGCAGGCCTGCAGAGCGGCGGCGCTGTGAGAAGCTCCCGTGAGGTCTCTGACAGGCACAATGGGAGTATAAGAAAGGGGAGCCTTGGAAAGGTCGTGGACGGGGCCGGGGAGGCCGCGGAGGTGCCAGGTCCCACCTGAGAGAGGGCAGCGCTGACGCTGGCGCGGCGGAAGGCAAGCTGGGGCACGGCGAACGCAGACGCTCGGCGTCGCTGCCTGGGCTTCACCCAGAAGGAGACCCGACAGATCAGTGTCCTCTGTTCCCTTCCAAACAGCCTGTTATGTAGAAACACTCACTCCTTGCATACGGCTCCCTCAGGCGTTTTTTTTTCCTCCTCTCCTTTTCCTTTTAAAAAATTTCCTTAAAGTTTATAATTTAAAATAAACATCAATAACTTATTTGAGAAATGTTCTTTCTCAATAGAAACTGCTTAGATCTTGCTGAAAGAGATTCAAAAACCCTTTTAACATTATATCTCAGCACAAAAGGCATGAATGTTTTCTATTTGTGCGGTTATATGTACACACGTGTGACTAGATACGTATATATATTTGCATCTATAATGGCTAACATGTAACATTCCCGACTTCTGATAATCAGGGTTGCATTCGAGATGCCATTGCACACCTCTGGAAAAAAGGAAATCACTGATTAACTTCCATGACTGTTTCTGTCCTATTATAAAGCCAATGACAGCTGGTGAAATGGTCATTCTTGCCAAGCCTCCCGAGAGTGTGGGAGTAGCAGGTGGAACGCGTCGTCCCCACCTTTAGGTTTCCCTTTTGTAAGAGTAATCGTCACTTTGCAGAGAGTGATGCTTCAGATTTGGATTTCCTTTCTACATTTCACTTAGGGGATAAGAGAAAGAAGCATTTAAAAGTTAAAGGCTGAGATAAGATTACCCTGCCTAGAGATACACTAATATAATGAATAAAATCTTCATCTCAAATAAAAATTATAATTTACAAATAGAAATTTCTTTAAAATAGGACACATCCAGCGATTCCTGCTAGGGTGTGGTTAGCCCTTTTCTGTGAGGAAGAAAGGGTGTCTGTTTTGGAGGGCCCGTGGGCGGCGTGTGGGCGGAGCCTCTCCAGGTGAGGCCTCCCCTCCAGGAGGGGGCGCTGCTGCCACCGTGGGGGAAGAAAGGGCCGGGGGCTCCAGAAGGTGAAGACACAAATATTTATAGTTTTGTAAACTCTAAAGAAGAAAAAGAACACCCTTTATTACAACTGGGGTTAAAAAAAGCCCCCTATCTAAAGTGGAAGATTCCCATCTGCTACAGACAGAAGGAAATGAACATCAGCAGGAGTCCAACGGCAATCACTCCTCAAGTCCAGTTTTGAGGCAAGTCCAGTTTTGAAGCAGCGTATCCCAAATTGGATCAGCTGTCTATCCAGAACCGGTCTTGGTTGGTCAGTGGGACAAAATGTTTTGTTTGGATCTTAGTATTTTCATGGTTTCCTAAAGGACAAGGGGGCTGGAGTGGATTTTTTTAACTGGCAGATGAATCCCTGAAAAATTCATTCTGACAATGTCCTATTGCACCCTGTGCACTTCTACCAGACAGACAGACAGACAGACAGACACTGGGTTTCTACCTACTGAACCGCTGGGCTCATTTCTCACTCACACATAGTTCCTATCTGCCTTCTCTAACAACTGCAGTGCTTTCAACAAGAGGAAAACAATAATAAAAATAGCAATAATTAAAAAGGTAATCTACATTATTAGCTTCCCGTGGGTATATTACAGTGGGGTTTTCTGTACATGGCCCAGAACTAGGCTCCCTGTGCACACAGAGGCGTGCGGGACAGCGTCAACCTCAGGAGCCTCGGCCTCCTGCCCGGAAAGACCAGGTCCCCTCTCCATCTGAGAGTCCTTGCCACGCTGCTGCTCTGAGCGAAGGAGCAACGTTCTGTTCCCGCGCGGGGCTGGGCACGGGAGAGCGTGCAGCCTCCTTTGCCTCCTCCCACAGACTGTCTGGTCTCCGAGGCCGTCAGCAGCTGCTGTTTTTGAATTCACCATTCTCCGTGATGGAAAGCTTGGTGGGGTTGGTGGGCGAGATGCCATTGCGGACCTGCATGCTGTACCGCTCCTTCACCTGGGTCAGCGCGCTCATCAGTCTGGTGTTGGCCGAGTCCAGGGACACGATCCGTTTTTCCTGCAACACACCGATCACGGTTTACTCTGGCTCCATGCGGGAATCACACTGACGCTCCTTCTTTAGGAGGACTGTTCTAACACTCGCTATCAAACAGCCGCGCGCATGACGCTTCCCGGACAAATGGAACGTCTCTGCCTCTTTCTGCACACGAGTCAGGTTCAGCTTCCCCTGAGCCCAATGGGTCTGTGTTTATTTTCTCTCTCTCTCTTTTTTCCTTTCAGCACAGTAGGATTTGCTACTAGTGATCCCTTGGGACACTGGAATACCAGGTAAAAACGACACCACGTGTTACTTCAGACTATGCAACACAGGGGTCAAGCTGCCTGACTGCAGGAAGTGCTTTTGGTCAAAATTAAAACATGGAAGGTAGGTGGCAAAGAAAGAAGCACCAGAGGTTTCATTTCACACAGGAGGAGTGCAAGTGACCTATGGGTTCTGAGCCTCCGGAGAGGGTGGTACATTGGCCACATTCGCAGAGAACACACATTGTGCTCCAAATTAAGAACAATACATGGTGGCAGCTTATAGTCACCAACAAAGTGAGGATGCAACACGCAAGAGAGGGGAAAGCAGCCAAAAGCTCAGACGGGGTTACTTGGGTACAGGGAGGGAGGTGTGGCCGCAGGGGCTGCCATGGACACACGCAGGCAAACAGACAGAGAACACAAGCCCCTGGACTCATTCCAGCTCAGAGTCACTCCAGGAAAGCTCCCCAACACAGAGATGCTTTCACTTTAGTTTTGAGTCTCTGGAAAAAAAAGGCAGCTTTAGAATCATATTTTGGAACTAAAGGTTGTTGAACACACACACGCGAAAAATAAAACTGAGGGAGAAAAGGGCCAAAAAAAGGGGAGGGGGCATCTCAAGAAAAGTAGGCCCATCTAAATTAAAAACAAAAAAAAATCGCCCCATTAAAGGATGACCAGTCTCACAAAGATTAGGCAGGAAACCCTAACCTTTGCTTCGGCGGCTGGTGAAGTCACCCTGGAAGCTAGTGCTGAGCAGAGCCGGCTTTACCTGTGCCCATGAAATTAAAAAGCAAATAGCACGAGAGGACCAACTCTCATAAGCCAGGAGGGGCTTTCCTGCCCCAGGCGGGTTTGCACTTACAGGGGGTGGGGGCATGGCAGGGTGAGCCATACTCAGGCTCCAGAGGACACAGGACTTCACGCTGCTCCTTGCAGTAGAAGCAGCAGCCATACAGGGCCCGTGGGGCTCTGCTCTGTGGGGACCCTGCTGCAGGGGATACACAGTAAAGACCACCGCCCGGGGGAATTTAGGTATAAGCACCTACAACAGCATCAAGTGATGCTCCCCTGCTTTGGGGTGGGGTGGGATCTGTACCGCAGCGGTGTGGTGGTCACAGTTCCAAAGTAGGAAAAAAAGAAAACCCAGTTCACACTTATTATCATTAAAAAAATTCTTCCTTTCCCTGATGGAGAACTCAGGTGGTAAGGTACCTCAAATCAGAATTATTAAATAACTAATAATCTAGTATAATATACTTTTGACTTTGGGAAGGTGCGTACCTCACTGTAAGGATAGACAAAACTCAAAGAAAGAAAGATCTGTGAGGTTTAAAAAAAAAAAAAATAATAATAATATGCCCTGGCTGGTGTGGCTCAGTGGATTGGCGCTGGCCTTTGAACCAAAGAGTCGCCGGTTTGATTCCCAGTCAGGGCACATTGGGCACATGCCTGAGTTGCGGGCCAGGTCCCCAGTAGGGGGCACATGAGAGGCAACTACACAATGATGCTTCTCTCCCTCTCTTTCTCTCTCCTTTCCCCTCTGTCTAAAAATAAATAAATAAAATCTTTAAAAAAATAATTAAAAAAATTATAGCCAAAGGAATTTACTGGGATAATAAGTGCGGACCTTTTCTAAGTTGGTAGGTAAGGACTGGTCAGTGGTTACCAGAAAACAAGAGGTGGGAGCCAAATCTGATGTTTCACCCTATGGTTAGGAATAGTCTCTACACAGGAAAGTGTTATTTCTTAAACTGATGAAAAAAGATATTTCCTCATTAGGATAATCTGTGAGGCCCTACTACTAAGGAATGAAGGACCTTCCAGGTCTAGCCAAAAAAATTAGGCACTCATTAAAAATTATTTAATTCTTAGAGTCACAAAGAAGGCTAAGAAGGGTTGTAATTCTTTACTGACTAGGAGAGTAACGAAGGAAGTCAAGCAACCCCCCAAACAGTTCAAAGTTTCCAAGTGCAGAAACTCCCTTTTGTAATTCCCCTCACTGCCAACCTCTTAAAACAAAACAAAAAGTAAAAGAAAAAAATCACACAGGGACTTTTGAAATTCAAGTTGAGTTGGCAAAAGAGGCTGTGACACTGCGGCTGCCCGAGCGAAGGGCAGGGCACTGCAGTCCGGCCGACAGGAAGGACGTCGGGGGAGTCAGGAGCTGGAATGGGTAGGAGGCAGTGCACCGGGCCGGGGCGGGGCTGCTCGGCGAGCGACAGGGTGTACTTGCCTGTTTGAATAATCTCATCTCCATTTAGGACCTGTAATTTAACACAGTGGAGGTATCACTTGCAACAGTAACTAGGCAGCTGCTTGCTTCTCAGAGGAGGGAGCCCTTCTCTGTTCTCCATCTGAGTCACATGGAGAGATGCTGGCTGGGGAGGGCGTGAAAGGTGGCACGGTCCCCGGTCTGATGTTTAAGAAAGGGCCCCTCAGTGCTGTCACCAGGTTGCCCGTGGCCGTGCCATGAGGTCCAGGACGGGCGGACCTGTCCTCCCCAGCGGAGAGCTCGTCCTCTCTGTCCAGCTGGAAAGCCGCTGCCCAGGCTGCCCTTGCAGCGTGAACTGGCTCTAGGAGACGGAAGGATGCCTTCGGGGACCAGCCCTTCCTGTAGGGACAGGGTTGCCGAGAGAGACGCAAACCAGCTCACTGGGCACCTGGCCTTTAGTGTTTTAGGAAACGCTGGGCTCAACTCTAGCACAAGGAAAGACACGGTATTCGCTGCAGAAATATTTTTTCAGCCACGGGCAGCACCAAGGCAGCCGTCAGGGACACACGGGTGTGGGTTGCCTCGCTGGGGAGCTTCCACCCCAAACGCTTCCCTCTATGAAACGGTGCCAGAAGGGCTGCTCTGCACGAACCACTTAAGACATAAGGTTCCTCCTTACAAAGGAAAGGCTCTGATGTGAAAAGTTGTTCGTTACAAAGGCTCCAAAGGATGTTTATAGTCTTTTGCTGTAAAAAGGTTTTAATGTATCAGCAAGACAACAGCTGGAACCCGGAAAACTACTTCTTAAAGACAGTGTAATTTTTTAAAACTGGCTTTAGTGTTGATGACGTGGGCTGGGCCTGGCACAATGGCTTTCCAATGCGGCCCAGTGCGTTTTCCCAGAATTCTTTAGGGGCTCACAGCGGGCCTCTGGTCGAGTTTACTGCACAGCGATGCCTGCGCCAGAATCGGTAACTGACCGCAGTTGGCCGGCTTCGCTGCGATGTGACCTATTATTAGAGAGTGGCTCTTGTCCTTGAGTGGTCAGCAGGAGTCGCTGGAAACTGATCTATGAAGGCGTCCCTGGTTTCACCAAAGTCATCCATGGAACTGAACGACTTGGAAAGCACTGCCTTGAGGGATGGATGCAAAATATTGTCCAGCTGAGCTAGACCACCAGTCCGCTGCTCTGAGGGCACTATTTCTCCCGTCCCTCAACACTGTCATACATCTGGTTAACTGAGAGAAGGTCCTTGCTTTCCAAAGTTTTCGAGTCCTGACAAATCCGGCTCCTTCTCTGGCTGCTACCTTCTCTGCCTACGCCTCCTCATTCATACCCAGCCATCTTGCCCAAGGAGCTGAAATAGGGGGTGGGAGTGGGGCTAATGAAGAAGCTGCCTTGATAAACCACCGAGAAAAGGAAAGTCCTGGATGCAGAGCCATGAGTGTGGCGCGCCCGGGCCCCCTCTGCTTACCATGGACAGTTTCAGGCCAGCTGAAATGACTAACAGGTCTGTTGCATCTTATTAGAACTAAAATCTCTCCTGGTGTGCTTATTAATAACTGTCCCGGCTTTATGTTGTCATATTGAAAATTCCAAGGTGAAACACTAGCCTTCTGACTAAATTGCCCTCCTTCTCCAGGCTGTTTCTCTTAAACCTCTGGGATGAGTTTTTAATGGCATGTACAGCGAGGTGGCCTTGTCTCTGCCTCCCTTCCCTTACCTGTCCTAGGGAGATTGAGAAAGGTTTTTTTAAACAAAGGACCAAATAAGAGAATCACAACAGAAACTTTCTTCTGATACTAAGGAGGCCTAAGTATCCAGAAACTACTGTGTGCAAGAGCCCAAAATATTGTGGGCGCCCTGCTGATGAGGCAGCATGGCAGCTCACCTGGCTTCCAGGCCGGGCATGTCTGAAGGAGTCCCGGCCCGTGAGGCGTTCTCCCCACGGCCCTGCTTTTAGCCTCACCCCGGTGCCCTTGGGAAACAAGCCCCATCCCAGGAACCCAGGCCGGAGGCGGCAAGTGCACGTGGAGGAACACTGGGGGCTGAGGCAGACTGACGTCTGGCCCGTGTGCGGAGAAGAGAGCAGAACGTGAAGCCCTTGCTCCCGTTTTTATCTCGCCGCTTAGGGGTATGGTATGCATTTGAGGGTGAGAAGTGCAAACCTGGGTTGCTGTTTTCAGGGAGGTGACATATTCAGCGGGTAGACCAGGCATTCCCCAAACCGCACCTGCCTTTTGCTACTTATTCCGCTCTAAGAAATATGACCTTATTTTGCGCTGATAAAATGAAAAAAATTAGAAACAGTTTCAGCCTGCTGGATTTTGCTCTCGTCGTGGGTGTGTCCCTGTGAGGTGTTCTCGGCAGCCATCTTGCCATTACTGTGACAGGTATGACCTACAGTGAGCAGGGGCCTGGGCGCTGATTTCATTGACCGGAAGAGGCTCTCCAAGCACAGCCAACAAAGAAGGGCAACCAAGCAAATTCCGAGCATCAGTGCCAAGCCCCGAACCGAAGGGATAATAAGGAAAGGTCTCTTCTACAACCTTGTCTGGCCCCTGCAGCTCCACTGCTGCCTGGGGCTAGAGGTCGATAGCACAGTGGACGTGACTGACAAGACCGTGAACGTCACAGCCAAGCAATGGTCAGTGGAGGTCACAAGCCAGACACATGCAGTGTACTTTTCACAGCTACCCCTGTGGAGAAGGCCCTGCTTTCCGCCTGGAAAGAAGTAAACCCCATCATGCACCAGGCCGAGATTCATCAAGCAACTGCACTGAGCACGCTGATACTTTGCTGAGGGTTAACAGACTTGTCACCAATGAAAGAAAGGGGAAGTCAGAGGTCACACAGAAACTCTGAATCTTCAGAAGGTAATGCAGAGAGCTTTCCCACGGCTCATTTTCCAGTATATGCCTTGGCATTTGCAAGGGGTGGGAAGTCAGAAAATAACAGTTACCACGGACAAGTGCCTTCTACCAGACTCTGGGCCTGCTTACCTGTGCATCGATTATTTTCTGCTTCGCGTCAATGACTGCTTGCATCTCAGCGTGATCCTTCTTCAGTTCCTCTTCCACAGCCATGAGCCTAGAAGGTGGCAGGAAGGACATTTCAGCCTCTTCAGAGGCGGGGCTAGATTACGCAGAGGACAAGAAACCCAAACTCATCACAGTTCAATATTTCCACTCCTTCCTGATCACGGATCTGTGGCCACGCGTTCTTCTTCTCTCTTAGCTCGGAAGACATCCACTGTTGACTTCTCTATCCGTGACTAGATTGCTTACGTTTTCATCTCCTCTGGGGCAATATTCCCATAATCACGTCCTCCCTCAGATCCCTCAGCACAACTTGCTTCATCTTAACATATCAAATCAGTCAACAAAAACCAAAGAAACTTCTCTTAATCTCAAGTTACCCTGTGACAGCTGTCCTTTTTCCTCCCTTGCACAGCTAGGTCCTCAAAGAGGATTGTGTACGTAGTGGGTCTAGTTTCGTTTCTTTCTCATCCACCACGCGTATCTTACCCCTCTGATGTTTAAATCCCATCGAACTGCTCTCAGGAAGACAGGCCCTGCATGGCTCAAACAATAGCCCTTTTCTGTTTTCCGTTTATTGACCTGCCCGCAGCTTCTGACAAGACGGGGGCGCAGTGGTTATGAGCATGGACTCTGGAGCTTGATGGCCTGGCTCCGAATCCTGGTTGCGCTGCTGAGTGACGGTGGGCAAGTGACTTCATCAACCTGTCGCCTGTTTCTTTATTTGTAAAATGAGAATAATAATAACGCCTACCTCAGACGTTGGCATTCAACAAATTACTATTACCAGGTTACACAAGTTATTTGTAAAGGACTTAGAAAAGAGCCTGACCCGCAGCAGGCGCTGTGTGAGTGCTGGGTGAAGCTGACCCTTCCCCCAGTCTCCCCTGACGTGCCAGCACCCTCTTTCGGTCCTCTGACCCCAACAATGGCCGCCTTCCATGTCTTTGGACTTGTTTGTGGAAAACTAAGTTGGTCATGGACACTGAACACTTAGGTTTTTAAAACCCAGTTCTCCTTCAAGGCCTCTCAAGGGCATCATTAAGATTTTACTTTTTCTAATAGTTATGATGAAAGAAAACCGACTACTTCTATTTTCAAAGGAAGTGCACGAAGGTCTCCCATTTAGAAAATTTTAAGAGACACGGTCAGTCGCCACCCTTGTGCCAAGACCATGGAGTACATGCAGAGCTGAAAGCAGCTTTGCAGCCGTCCCGAGGCGTCTCCACTCCCCTCCCACCCCTGTGTGCGCCGGGCGAGCCCATGGCTGCGCCGGGGACCCCCAACCTGCTGATGATGCTCTTCATCTGGCTGTCCTTCTCCTCCTGCTGCCGGCGCAGCCGCTCCTCGCTGTCCTCCAGCCGCGCCTTGTACTCCAGCAGCAGCTTCTGCATCTGCTGCTCCTGCACCAGCAGCCGGCGCTCGTACTCCTCCAGCCGCCGGCTGGACACTCGCAGGCGCTCCTTCAGTTTGGTGATTTCCTGTTCATACTAGAGGAGGGGAAAAAGCCTTACACTGGCTGTAGGGATCCGTGCTTTACTTTTTACGAGAGAAACCTGAGGCAAGGTCGTCAGATGCCGTCTGAGCTGCCATGCTGTGTGCTGATGCTTTGAAGGCACAAATGGCAATGGAGCTCTGCCCTCCTCCTAAAATTACATTCGTAACGTTAACTTGGCATTCCAAACCTGTATATTTGTGGGTCTCTCTTCACACTAAACTATCAGCTGCTGCAAGCCACATCCGACCTATGATGGTATCAAAGGGGAGCAGGAAAAAAATGATCAAGCACTAAGAAGCCTGACAAATCACTTAAAATGAGCCAAAAGCCCATGGCCAACAGAGAACAGGTTCTGTGTCATCGCCCATTGTTTGGCTCATCAGACCGCCCTTCCTTCACTCTGTCGGAATCAGCCCTGTAGAGAACAAGCAACATTTCTGTAATGTTAAGTGCTATTAATCAATAAATAGAATTTTATGGCAGAGTAGACTGTGGTTTCCTTCTCCCCAACTATAAAAATGTAAAATATTCAGGTCACAAGCATTAAGCCAAAGGTCTTCACGTTCTCTAGGGCTGATGAATGCTGTTTCTTGGCCCGTTTTCGAGATGTGGTTCACCTGCCCCATTTGGTACCCCTTTCTGGAATGCATAGGTCTGTTTTCTCGCTAATGCCGCATATAAAGCTTTAGGCTGGTTACATGGCCCTTTTTTGTACTGAAGGTGCTGTGGGTCAGGGGTGAGTACACTAGAATCTCACATGTCTAGGTGACGTGGGAAGCATAAGCTTCCTGGTAGATGGCCTACATAAGTTCATTAGCAATCAGTGATAAATCTGTACAGTGCTTTGTAAAATGCAATCTATTTTCTTATAATGTCCTGTTTAATTGACAATCAGACAATTAGCTTCTGCTTATTGAACATGATGGTCCTAAATGACAATGTTAACCCAGAAGGTCAAAGATGACAATTTCTAGGATAGTTTGACGAGGCAGACTTCAGGAATAAGCATGTTTAGGGGCATGTTGGTAGGTGAGCAGAAGCTACCTGTCTGATTGTTAGTCTAATAAGATGATGCTGTACATGATGTCAAGGTTTATGTTTGGTCATTTCTTCCATGTCAACTTTTCTTTACAAGACAAAACAAAACAAAACAAAACTGAACCAACAGATGGTTAATGTCTTTTTAAAAAATCATCTATAAAGCTGGAAGTACATTATCCAGAAATGACAAAAAGAAAAAAATTTAAAAAAGCACAAAATCATTACCAAGATATAGAAAATCTAGTCTAAAGGAAATTCTGACCTTGGATGAAAACTATCAGCCACTTTATAAAAACACTAAATAATTGCCTAAAATTACTAGAAATGAATAGCAGAGTATTCTCCATATTAAGGCAACCTACATTAAAAAAAAAAAAAAATAGAGCTAATGCCCTCCACCCCAGCTCAACGGACATTTTCCACATATTTCCACATAAGAACACTGCTAGCTATTTATGACACATAGATAGGAACACAACGGTTAATGTAAAAAGAGGCGGGGCTGAAGCTGGGGAGGGGCAGCTCGGGCCCTTGGCCACACGAGCCTTTTGGCGGCCGATCACTGGGGGCGGTGAGTCAGAAAACACAGACTTGGGCCTACCTTCTCAGCGTGCTTGGCTTCATCCTGATTTTGCTCCGTTTCTTCCACATCCTCTTCATACTGCCCGTTGTTCAGAACCCAGGCTGCTGTCCTCTCTACTGGGGACATTGTGGCAGAGTCCACAGGTGACTGAACCTGCATCAGAAATACGTGTTAGCATCTCTCAAAACACTTCATCTCCTAGTTAGGTTTCACAAGGTGAGCTATTCTTGGAAGACGTAACTACAAATCTTGTTTTCTAATAAATGCTCTCAGTTTTAACTAATATTTTATTAATGCCAGAGCTGGAGGAGGGAAAAGAGACTATTCATTTCCATAAGAAGAAACTATTCTAAAGTGAGAAATTCCAGTGCAACACATCCAAGTACCTGCCCTTTTCTCCCTCCAAAGAAAGACAAGGCCTTAAAATTGTTAATTAGATTGGTGGTCCAAACCATCTAATGAAATAACGACGATGACAGAATGAGAAGAAGACAGCACAACCTGAGGGCTGATTGCTCAGTGAGAAAGCATCTGGTTAACCCAGGGACCATCAGGAGCCAAAGCACCGATTACTGCTGAAGAAGCTCACTAGGTGCCCATTTGTACATCAGAATGCCAAATTCTTAATTTCACATTAACCGTGGAGAGAAAGAGAATAAAACAAGCGTGTTTAGTCATTTTTATAGAGCAGTGACTTCTTGAAGGGCTAAGCTCACTAACAGTTCATGTACTAGCCCAGCGAGTTCCCTGATGAACACAGGCTCAAAACAGTGGATATCATATTAGTGTGAGAGCTATTTCTACCCAGGGAGGACAGCTAAACTGTCCTTTTTCTGATACAGATATACAGAGTGATGAAAGTGCTGGCCTTGAGTAGCAACTCTGCCACCTAAATTGTCACTGAATCTCTTAAATGCTCTTTTCCTAACGTACTAAACAGGACACTACCAGCACCACCATCACCACGCAGTCTGACCGCCTCAGGAAGCTGTAAGGGTTGGCTAAGACGATGTATGTGGAAGTTCTTCGGAAACACAGGGTACCAGAGAGCTTAGATGTTGTTAATGTACTTCTGTTTAGAAAACTGGTACTGTGTATTACAATTTATATTAGACTACTGAACATGGGTGCTTTCTCCACAAACAATGCTGGAAATACATAACAAATTCGTTTTCTTTGGCCTGCCTGGGAGAGTGTGCGAGAGAGAATAAAAAAGAGAGGCAGGGGGTAGGAGGAGACAGACAGACACAGACACACATACACACACTCACAGAGTGAGCGCGTGTGCACAAGAACAAAGCACTGTGAGTAAGTTAGTCTTTTTATAATTAAAATGGATTTCTATTTTGAGGACAAATACGGCATAATCTCACTGAGGGGAATTTTCTCTTCCCTGCAAAGCTATATATTTAAAGAATCTTTATATCAGTCTGGAATAGAACTGAGTTAAACTCTAAACAGATATTTTCAGGGAAGGGGTGTGATGAAGGCTTTGGGGTTTATGAAGAGCAGATAAAAAACCTGGCTGCAGAGTATAAAAGGTTATCAAAGATGGTTTGGGTAAAACGTCTGCCAACAAAAGTAATGGAAAGGTGTTCTTTCAAGGGCTGAAGAGGAACCTGGTTTGTTTGATTTACAAAGATTAGACACACATAGCGATAAAAAAATGGCTTTATGCCTGAGGCACACACAGCAATGGTCAATGAACTTGTGGAATTTCTTCTTTAAAGCCACATTCTCCACTGTGTCAAAACACATGTCAACATGTCTTAGACTTCAGCGCCCTCACTTCTTAAAAGTCTACCTTTATCTCCACTATGGTATGTAGGTATGTTTCTCAAACTTCATTCACTCGTATACCATTTTCATTATTTTTGTCACAACCACATTATCATTGATTTTTGTTATCTCTTTCAAACAACATTTTACAGTTAGATAAGTCCTTATGCTAAGCAATAATATCAGTAAGATTATGAGTTTCATGTTCTATAATAAATATATTTCTATATTAGTAATTACATATTTTTCTAACAATGTATTGAAATAAACACCATGCACACGTAAGTAACTTTGAGTATCACACTTTGGGAACACTGGCCTGTTGGGTACAGGCCCATCTGTAAGAGGAAGGTGATCACTGTCCACATCAGAAGTCACTGCGAGAAACAAGGGACACAGCGTGTAACAGCACTTCATAAACTGCAAGGTCCTTCACACACACACGTTCCCTGCTGGACTTTAACAGCAGAGCACAACAAATTGCTGTAGGATTGGTAGAGAAAATAGTTAAGCAAGGGATTCAGGTTTTTATTTGATATATGTATACCTGAAAGGCAACAGAATCTGGTTCTGAGTCTTAAAAAATTAATAGAAAGCCAACATTTAAAGGGAGCAGATTCCTTTTTAATTTTATAACCTTACCACTTTAGCACATGGGGTAGAGAAAAGCTGCTTTTCTGTGAAACCAGGAGTTTCTATTCAATAATAGTTTGAGATAAAGTAGCCACCAAAACTAATAACTTTACTCTTTGAAATTTATTACTTCAAGGCAGCTAATTCAATAGCTTTCTGCTTTACAGAGTTAACAAGATGCTGCTTGAATGAACTTACTTTCCCTCTGATTTGTTATGGTAACCATTTATTGAGTGCCTCTAAAAGTACTGCAAACAAGCGATACTCCTGAGAGTGCACTAAGGAGAGATCTTAGCCCCTAAAAACATATTAAAAACTCCTACTCCTTAGGGTAACCTGGGCTTTAACTGCTAAGTGAAAAGGAGTAAAAACGAGGGTGGTTTCATTTACTGGTGATGTTGATAGCAGCTTCCATATTTTCAGCAGGACTAACAATTCCAATGAGTTACAAGAGATTGTACAGTGGAAATTGGGCATTCAGGTGTATTCCTATTTTATTGGTTGAATCTAATTTTCAACCACTTCCTGATACAGTGGTACCTCGGTACTCATCGCTAATTTGCTCCAGAACTCATGAGGAGCGCCAGAACTGACCAGTACTGAACAACGAAGCATTAGCTCTTGCAGGGCGGCGCCATGCCTCACACAAGTTCTAGCAAGTGCTGAGTCCCGAGCAGGCGCCGAGGACAGGCTCTGATGGGTACCAGGGTATGACTATGTATCCTAGCACTTCGTGTGACATGTGACAGGTGGTCAATAACTGTTGAAAAAATAAATCAGACCAATATTACCCATGCCTTGTATTCATTCATAAAACCTTTACACGATTATAAAGAGATGGAAAAGTAATATTAAACATATCAAAATGATTTGTGTTAGATTGGAAGAAAACAGACATGATTTTTGTTTCAAAATTATTTGTTGTAATATGTTCTTCATATGAAAGAACTATATATTCTTTTGCATTTTTTTCTATTGATTTTATGTGTGTTGGTCTTATTTTCCAATTAGATTGTCTAGCTTTGAGGCATGGTACCATGTTATACAGTTTTTTGTTTTTTGTTTTTGCATGGTAGTGACTATATATTTGTACAAAAGATGCTTGGTAAAATATTATTTATTAATACAGAGTTGATCACTAAAGTATAATTTATTACTAAGAGAAGGCTCCTCTGTTTTCCCTCCAATCTTCCTCTTGGCAATAAACTATGTTACTGCATACAGTAATAACGTGCATCAAAGGCTTTTCCCGGATAATCGCCCACCTCCTTCACACGCTGCACAGATAGCAGAATTTATTGCCTCCAATTTACAGCCACAGACATTGAGAAGAAGGGCTGGTATCCCACTCTGCTTCGCTGCATCCTCAGGAAGAGCTTTTACAGCCGCTGACTTTCAACAGCGGACCATTAAAGGAAATGAAAGATGACAAAGACCAAAAGGGGTGGGGATTCCCATTAGGAACATCTCCCTCTTGAGATAAGGCTGCTCTGGGAAAACTAATGCTTAGGACAAAAGGGCCTGAGACAGCAGTTTCGCTGACCCTGTGATTAGTCATAGCCTGGCTACGCGGGGGACAATTGAGAACAGGCCAGCTCCCTGCTCCTTGCTAACATTTACTAGATATAAATGCGACTTGTTGGGTTCGGCCATTCCACAGCCTGAAACAGTCAGGTTCCCATCAATGAATAATACCTCTGTTATCAACACCAGCGAAAGGGCTGACTAAATACTACGTAAGCCCTGAGAGCGCTCGAAGAGTTTGGACAGGGGAGCATCGTCCTGACAGGCTGCTCAAATGCCAATTTTAAGAGCCTCTTCAAATTTGAATTTCTAAGTTTAGGTAACATGCTTTATCATATACATTGTAGGTTTAATCTATGATACATCAAAAACAAAATGAAGAGGAAAATGAGAAAAAAATAAATCTAAACAGAGGCTGAAAAGGGACAAAAATTAAAGTTTCCCTGAAAAAATTCTTTCTGTAGATTGTTTTGCTAGAATTTTATTTCCTTCCTACTCAGGAGATGGAGGAGGCTCAAGCCAGTTGCCGTGCCAGTAACGACCGCTCCTTTGTGCTAAGATACAAATGGAATTTGAATGGGACAAAGCCACCGATAACTGTAGACTCCTACAGAACAACCCCTACAAAGAAACCCTCTAGTTTTGGGGAGAAAAGAATTCTCCAACACAATCTGCAATTAAAATATGTAAAGGAATCTGCCTGAAAAATGCACTGATTATGTAGAATTTCATGGGAGCAAGATGAGAAAAGCAAGCAAGAAACAGAAAGGAAGGAATTTAAAAAATAACATAAGTTCAAAAGAATAAACCATCTGCATAGAAAAAGCCAGTGTAGAAAAACCAGAAACTTGAGCAATCAAAACAGCGATTTATGGTTTAATGGCTACGCGGGCAGCAGTACCGGCAAAGGCACAGGCAAAGATGGATATTTCAAGCCGCGCCAGGACATCTCGCTGTGGCCGTGCCCACTTCACACCAATGTAATATGGACATTCTCCAACTCATTAATGGCTGTGGCACAACACATTTTTAAATTGCTTACTTGGAGACTGTGTGCATTTCCTACCTCCCATCTATTACCCAGAGAAATATGTGCCTAGTGCTTATGTGAGAGGGGTTATATTTTCCTACAACACAAATATTACAAACTACAGTTGGTTCCAGGTGATCACAACAAAGGCCATTTAATTTATAACATTTATAAACCACCGGTCTGAGTCACGGGCCCTGTGAAATGGGGAGTGGATGACACAGGAAGAGAGGGTAAGCATCCGTCTCTTCCGCCCAGGGCTGGGCCTGTGTCCACTGTCAACTTCAAAAGTAAGGAGAGGGCCCTTCCCCTGTCCCGCCCTCTCTGCCAATCTGATGTCCCTCTCTGCTCCCTCTCTCAGGGCGGTCACGCTGTGCTGAGCCCCGAGTGGTGTTTGCCTCCACGCAGTAGTCCGTCTCGAGAACTAACTACTCATCTTTCCTCTTGCCTCTCAACAAGCACTTCAGTTCTCTGAAAGGAGGGGATCTCGACTGGAAGCTAGACAAGAGCCATGTGTGGGAACTGACTCACAGTAAAGGGGGAATGACGGAAAGCCTCCGGCCACACAAATTAAATGTGTGTGTAGGAGACCTACAGAGATGGCTATATAAGCAGTTAAGCATTTTCACTTAAAGAAAAGGAAGAATAAGAATATATATTACTATGTTATAATACTATATATAATGTTATATTATATATACCCTTCCTTTTCTTTAAGTGAAAATGCTTATTAAGTCAAATGAATTGGTAAAATTGGGGAAATACCACAAAATAAAAATGAAAAATTTAAGACTGAAGAAAACCTTTATTTCTCAGGAAAGAATGACCAACTAAGAGTTTTTGCACAGGAAGTCAGCTACCAGAATCAGCTGATGTTAGACATGTTTTTCACCCCTTCCTCTTTTTCCATATTCAAGGGTTCTGTAAATCCTTGATTATCACTAAACAGTAATTAAACAACGATTATTTAAGTAGGGCAAGGGCTCTGATCACAGTAGAGGGGAGGGAGAAACAGCCAAATTAGTAAATGCCTACCTACAAAATTGCAAATATATTAAAAAGATACATTGGAGTTTTACTGGAATCTCCTCTGGCAAGTTATTTTACTGAAAAAAGGACTTTTTAAATCATGAAGCTCCCTAGTATTTATAAAGTATGATCAGGATTCAAAAAATATGCAAAAAAGACAAAGATTTTTAAGAAAAAAATCTTTTTCAGATGAAAGTGAGAAATTTTCTCTCTCATACACACACACACACACACACACACGCACGCACGTACTTCCTAAGGCAATTAGTTTGTTTCAAAGAACAAAATACATATCAGTGCCTCTTGGGAAACTTTTTCTGAAGGAAAAAAAGACTTTGTTAATCACATGTTAAGAGTGGCTGTGGCGCTAGCTGGGCTTGTCCACATAAAGGGAAATTACAAGGAAGCTGTGAGTGTGTAGAATACTTGTCAGTCGCCTGTGTGTCTATCTTTTTACCTCCCTCCTTTACTTTGCCTCTGTGGGTGTTCAGCTGTTTATTTTTCTAGCCATTTCCAGGAAAAGGCACATGGGACTTGCGTTTCCAGAGGGAGTTGGGGAGGAGCCGAGAGTAGTTATATTAAACTCTCAGCTCAGAAGGCAAAACTTTATTCTGGAAGCTTAAGAAAAAATATTTAAGGAGGATTAATGTCCAGATTGCCAAAATACCTTCTAGTTGGTCTGGCCTATAGATTTCATAGAGTAAGTGTCTAATTGGTCATTCAGTGGGACAGGTCTGTTCTCAGTGCCTAGTGAAGGGAAGGCAAGGCCCTCGTGTGTAGGTACAGGCGCCCTCAGGCGGCACCAAGCTACCCGTAGCCGCCTTGCCGGCCGGGAGCCTCCCATGCCTTTTGTTTCCTCTTCCCATTTAGAGGGGGCAGAAATGTTGTGAAGTGGAGCCCCTGCGAGCCATGGGGGTCTCCCAATGGTTCCTGCATCAAGCCCCACAGAGCAGGTGGACTAGGCAGCAGCCAGGCCGCCCGGCCCACGCCCTACCTGCTGCGTCTGCTGCCTCTGGATGGCTCTCACTTTGGGGACCGGGCTCTCTCTGGAGGAAGAGGACTGCTGGCGGGACCGGCTGCCGTTCTGTGCGGGCTCGGCCACCAGGGCCGCCGAGGCCACGGACATGCTCCCGGTGCTCCGTAAGGAAGCGCTGTGCGGCAGGGACGGCGGGGCTTTGGCTCGGGCGCCCAGCCCGGCCTGGTCCATTTTTCGGATCTGGGCCTGCCCAGTACTGTTTTGCCGGGGCAGAGCAAGAGGTATGTGTCTGTCTGGCACTGTGTGCCGCCTAGAGAAGTCCTCGCTCTGGGTGCTGCGCTTGCTGAAGTCTTCCATGCTGCTGTTGCTGGGCCCGCTGAGTTTGAAGTCCTCACTGTTGCTTTGGCTCCTGGAGCTGGCCGTGCTGAGGTTCTCCAGGCTGGAATCCACAGAGGCCTTTGGCATTGCTGGGATTGGGTTGCTGAGGTGATAGACGGGGTTCTGGAACGACAGGGGCTGCAGGCTGCCGGGCTGGTTCAAGGCCGGGTGCAGGGGCCTTCTCACTTGGGGCGCGCTCTGGGGCGTGCTCTGGGGTTCCCGCAGCTGCTTGATGCCGGCCACCTGGGTGACAGAAAGCTGGCTCCCGGTCAGGCGCAGAGGCACGTCGAGCATGACGGATGCGTGGTCCACCTGAGCAGCGTGCGTGTCCTGCAGGTCCATGAGGGAGACGCTCCGCCCGTTAGGAAGGCTGCCGTCCTTTTCCTCCTTCTCCGAGTAAGTCATGCTCTGGGAGGAGGCCTGCTGCACCAGCAACAGCGTCTTCCCCCTGAAATAGCTGTCTGTGGTGTCCTGGCTCGGAGACTTGAGTTTATGCAAGTCACTGTGGAGAGGGAAAGGACACCTCATTACTCTTGAGACAAAATCACCATATTTAAGGTTCCTCAACTCAGGCCTGCGAATGCTTCTGAAGACTGACAGACCCAATGAGGACGCTCACGTCTATACTCTGACTTCGTCATTACAATTCTTAGAATAAAATCCAACATTTTTAGTTTTTCTCCAAAGGTGGAGAAGAATACTGTATATACCACTCCATCCCTGTTTTCAGTTTTTAGTAGAATTCCAATTGTGTTCTAATTAGGTTTTTAGCCCTCCTACAGTGTTCCAGTCACACCCGATTGGCTCAAGAGGAGAAACGCTAAGTGCGCAACCAAAGGCGCAGACCTTGCTGACAGGGACAGCAAAGGCCCAGCATCAGCGCCGGGCCAGCCAGCCAGCACAACATGGGTTTATGGGGTGCTCCAGGCTTCTGAGAGCTACAGGGTATGAAAGTATGAGTTTTATAGAGCCCTTAGTCTTCCATAAGGCAGGACACAGTTTTTTTTACACATTTGCTCAATATAACTCTACAATACCATTCTAAAAAATAAGTATCCCAGATCTTATGTATCATTATGACATTGGATTTATCTCAGGTCAGATGACTCTTTCCAATTGCTCAAGACTTTAAAGTTTGTCAATTCAACAGACAAGTTAAATATATTTTTGCCAAATCTCTAAAAGTGGTATCTTGAGACAGCCCTTCAAATTCTCTCTCATACCTGTCAGTGGGGTCTTCGAATATTTTCTGCAGCCCAGAGGAGAGGCTCCCACTGACGTTGGGACTGGAGCTATGCTCCGTGAAGCGTCTCAGCTGCTGCTGAATTGGTGTGGGATTAGTCAGAGACTTGGTAATATCAGCAAGAACACGAGGGAGAGGTCCCAGTTTTGCCACGGTCGCCTGTAGGAAGGAATTTTCACCCTAATTGGATAATAAGCATTGCGACATCCACCACAGATTGTTTTTGGGACAACGATGCCCATTGATGAAGGGGTGGAGGTTGAAGGGAAGGGTAGGTGTTTGCGTGCGGGAGCGGCAGGTTCATAGTGCATTGTTACGGAGCGGCAGAACCATGGCGTCGGGATGGATGGAGGAGGCGAAACAAGGTGCAGCGGACATCGAGAAAAGAAAGGAAATAGAAATTAGGATTATGCAAATAAAAATTAAAAGACATGCTCAAAACAACCAAAATATTTGCCATTCCAACTAAAATAGGCATGCAAAGCAAACAAAATCTTTGGGAGGCTAGTAAATCAAGGTGGGGAAAGGTAGGAGGAGAACCAAACACCTTCTAACCAAAAAGGACTTTAAAACCATAGGGCTAATGTGATGAAACCTCCAAAGAAAAGGCATTATGTGAGGAAAGAAATGCATGCACTTTAAGGAACGTGTTGCATGCAAGGGTCCAAAGCACTCCAGGACACACAGGTGACACTGCTGTCAGCTACCCCGTTTAATCTTGGGAACGCTGACCTATTACTGCCAACTAGCTTTACATAAGCATTGACAATTCTTTTAAAACAGAAAAATCAGGGAAACACTCTCTATAAAAATATGTCTAGATGTGCTCTTTGTTCCCAGGACCTGAGATTAAAAAGGAGAAAGTGTGTTTATACAGCAAAGCTTGTTAAGAAGACCTTCACCCTCAATAAATCAGGCCGATTTCACAAGATGACTTCTTCTGCATCTCACTGATACAGATATTCAACAAAGAGTAACTTTTTAGTAATTGCTTTATCCATCTCAGTCATTTTTCTCTTTGGGGGATTCTTATTCTCATAGGGTCTTATGGGACCCCTCAACTGTCAGGCAGGTTTACATGGCTGCCTCTGGGTCTTCCTTGTTCCTCAACGACCAACAGCTTCCTCACTGTGCTCAGGCAGGTGGGATTCCGGCGCAAATGCCCCCTGAAGCGTGCCTGTCTGCGCCCCACCTCCTTGAGCCATGACTCCCATTTGAGGAATTTATCCTCCGCACAGCTGCACCTTAAAGTCCAGCTGGCATTTCTAAAAGTGAAGAAGGAGCAAGACCTCAGGAATCAGGAAGAGCTTATTTCACAAATGTTGTAAGCAGCAGTGGACAACTACCACTTATATTTCCTCAAAAAAGTAGTCTTCTTAATAGGTTTTATACCCCTCTTCCAATATTATTGGTACATTTTTTAAGAATAGGAAAATGAAAAATTCTCATCAGAGAAAAATAACTTTTGTCTTATGAACTTATTCTAATATACCACCACACATATATTTATAAAGTACCTACAGTAAACAAAATGATCAATAAATAATTATTGTGATAAACCTAGACAAAGTCTGTTAAGATTATTTTCTGTTACAGATCTATTCTCTTTGCAAAATTCCAGAAGGAAGAAAATGACTGGTATGGTTATTAATATGAAATCCCTATTAAAATTTAATAATAAAATACTTAGCTTATAATAGTAATAAAATCCTTAGCTTATAGTCAGAAAATAAATTATTAAAAATTATAATTGTTTTCTGTTCTCCCAATTTACATCAACAGTAAAAGAAACCACCAGGATTCTCAGATTCCATGTAACTCAGTTGTACTAATAGTTATAGTAAACTCTCTGACTTCCATAACAGCAACAAAAATCTCAAGGGTAAAAATACTTAAATGTAACAGTATCTGTATATTTTGAAGTTGACGCTTTTGATAGAAATCGCTGTATGAGGCTTTATCTCATCCTACTATACACGAATAAAGCTACAAACACCAATATTTGATACTAGTTCTAGATGAGTTTTTAGATATGTTATATATACTATATCTACTTACTTATAGAAATATATACTCCATTAATACAGGTAATTCCTTGAAAAAATATGTAAGTGATTTCATGGCTTCCTAGAATTTCCTTGTTTGTAGGGTACATATTTCACTCAGAAATGACAACCATTTCCTCTCAGACTTCTAGAACAAAGGGTTGCTTTCACCCAAGAGAAAGGGGAGGAGGACTAGGACCCCGTAGATGCTCTCCAGGACCCAGGTCCGTTTAGCCTCTCTGTCTCTCTTCTCCTGCTACTATTCCGGCCTACTTTACCTTATCGAGCTGGGAAACCACTTCCCACAGTAAGGAATGCAAAACTGAAAGCTCCCGGCCCAGGTCGATGTAACCATCAAAGCCTGGGGTGTTGGAGATGGTGTCTGGATTGGAGATCTCCAAGAGAAAGCGCTTCATTCCGCCCCATTCATGTTCTAAAAAATCATTCATGAATGCCATGTATTCTTCTTTGTTACCAAATCTAAAGTAGAGGGAAAGAAAATGGGAAAGGACATATTCAAGAAAAGAGAGGGGATCATTTTGAGTCGACCTTACACAGAGCTATAAAATTGTTTTAGTTTGGGGAGGGGGCCTAAATGACTAATTTGTTTATTGTTTGTAAATGATAAATACTAAAATATACTTTCTTAATATTAATAACATGAATTCTTAAAAACTTTGAATAACTTTCTATTCTCTATCATGTAAAGCTAAAAATCTTTTTTTCTTATATTTAAAACTCTGTATATAACTTTCACTTACCTAGCAAATGTTTGTCAGTATAAACCCTTAATATCACTCGATTCTTTAAAGTTTCCCAAATATTTTATACTCTTTTCCTTCTCTAAGCTTTTGTTCATGCTATTTGTTTTTGCTGGAGAAGAACATCCTCTCTTCTTTGCCTATCTAGATTCTAGCTACCTTCAAGGCCCAGCTTAAGTCCACAAAACTTGTTCCAAAATAAACTAGAAATTCTTTTTACCAAAATTAGCTCAAATATGGGTAAACATGTATATTTCTGCATTGGCTTATATATAGGATACACAAAATTAAAGTAGTGTACTTCTAAAAAGTCACTATTTAAACTAGAAAACAACCTGTTCCACAAAGTTCTAATTTTTTCCTTCAGTACGTCGCTAATAGAATTTTGTTTTGCTCTGGCTGGTGTGGCTCAGTGGACTGAGTGCCAGCCTGTGAACCAAAGGGTCGTTGGTTCAATTCCCAGGCAGGGCACATGCCTGGGTTGCAGGCCAGATCCCCAGTAGGGGGCGTGCAAGAGGCAACCACTCATTGATGTTTCTCTCCCTCCCTTCCTCTCTCTCTAAAAATAAATAAATAAAATCTTTGAGAAAAAAAAAAGAATCTTGTCTTTAAGCTTCAACATTGAGCGAGTCTATTGTGGTCAAATCTGCCATTGTGAAGTCCCTCTCAGCAATTTCTTAGAATTATTTTCTATAAATTATTAAAATTATACAAACTGAAAAAGATTGGAAAACAATGAAAAGTGGAAAGAAAAAAGTATGGGTGTCCCCACTCTGTCACTCAAATATATCTGCTATTTATATTTGCATGCATTTTCTCCAACTGCTTTCCAATGTCCTTTAAAACAGTTTCAAATCTACCAAGAGTAGAAAGAATATACAATGAACAACCATATGCCTTCATCTACATTAACCAACTGTTAACATATTGCCAAGTTTGCTTTCACTCTCTCTATATATACATATACTTTTTTTTTCTTGGCTGAACCATTTTAAACTAAGTTGCAGACATAACCTCTAAATATATTAGCAACCATTGCTCCGGAATAAAGAATATCTCTTACATAAACCAATGTCATTATCACACTGAAACTTAAAATTAAATTTCTACCAATTATCTCTAAATGGACTTTTATTGACTTCTTTCCCATTCAGGTCAAAATCAGATCCAAGCATTGTATCTTGTCTCCTTTAATATAAGACAGCCCCTCCACCTTTCCCCTTTTTCCTGACATTGACTTGTTTGAAGGGACTGAAGTTTCTAATAGCCCCTTACATTTAAAATGATTATATCTTCATCATTTTCCATTGTATTGGCTTTTCTTTGTAAACACTTCGCAGTGGCTGCAAATGTTCTACTGAATGCATACACCCTAGCTTACGTAGCCATTCCTCTATAAAATGAAGATTTAAGTTGTTTCCAATGCTTTTTGCTATTTTAATAACACCTCAATGAGGACCTTGTAACATGAGCGATGAGGCCCCGCAAGCCCACCTAAATTTTAGACCTCATGCATTTTTTTAAACACTGTTTTTAAAAAGAGCAGTCATGGTAGTGACACCTACTTGGCAAAGTTAGCCAGGTTCTGAATGACCTTGGCAATGAGAGTCAGAGTCCGAGACGTGCGGTCATCGGGATACTCCTGCATGAGGTTGAAAAGGCTGGGAGACATGATGGCCGGACACAGGAAGCGCAGGAACAGCGAGGCGCTGATGAGCCGCTCGCTGATGTCCTGCTTGCCGCGGGTCAGGCACTGCTGCTTCCAGGACGCAAACACTTCTTTCAACTCTCGAGGGAAAACGCTGGGGAAGGGGAAAGACCAAAACCTCTATGCAAGCCCAGAAAGCGCAGGCGATCTCACTCTGGCCCAACACGCCTCCGCTCGGGAGCCGGGAGACGAGGGCCTGGTGGGGCGAGCTCTGCCTGAGTCACGGCTGAGAGGTGGCAGAAAATTCACAGAGGCCCAGATGGAGGCTGGAAACCCAAAGCTGCAAAACTCAGGAATTAGTGTAAATTTAGTTCTGCAAAGTGGGAAAATGGCATGAGGCTCCTGACTACACCATCTGGTTTAATGAAGATCACCATAATCTCTCTAAAGACTGTTCATCGAAAATCTTCCCAAACCTCACCAGTTCCTGCGGTGGGCCAATGATCAAAAACAACTAACACATCTGTTTCACACCGGTAAATATTTTAGAGAGCCATGAGGATACTTTCGGTATTTAGAAGAATGTGGTGCTAATATTCTACATAAACACTGTATTTATGTAGGTAATTCAGAGGTTGTTCTGCTTATAACAGAGCTTTAGATTTGAGGCAGGACTCTATTAGGGAGACTCCGTTTCCTACCCTAAGCCCTTCCTCTGGTTGGGAAATAACAGTTAACGCTGCGATGACTTTTATCTACAAAATGAAAGTTCCGTCGGCGGCGGATGAAACATTGACACCAGCTCACCAGTAAGAGTTGATGATCTTGCAGAAAGCCAGCTCGCAGCACATTTTCAGGTTGCTCTGGTGGTCGAGCAGCTCGCTGGATGAGCATTTGCTGGGGTCCACTTCACAGTTCTCGTCCGACTCGTACAAAGCTTTGATGAACTCCCCTGTTTCAGGAGAGAAATGGCACATACAGAACTATAAATAGTGTCTTCCTGAATAGAACAACAGCGTTTAGGACTTCTGTTCTTAAATGCATGATGTGGTATCTTTCTGAGACCTCACAGGGAGGGAACAAAGGATTGTTCACGAAGAGTCATCACTTTGGAACCCAAGAGTTACCACCTCCCACATATTATGTTTATTTTCTTTATCCTGGAAGTGGAAAAACAGCAATCACTAACATCATCATCATGGTATTTATAAAAATAACAATGATACTACTTTAAAAAATAACTTTAAATCTTTTCTTTGAAACCACAAATAAATGAGCATGAATGCATTATTTGTTATAAGGCCCCTCTACCAGGGTGAATAATGTTACTATAATAAAAGAAAAGGATATCCCAAGATTGACTAAACAGGCTACCCTTAGGTGGGCTAATTTTTTAGGTGCTAATGTTGGTACCAAACATATATGCGAGTAAGGTTGCTAAACTTACCTCTTGTAATGGGAATGGTCATTCAACATAGCACGCAATGGTGGCAGAACATCTCTTTATATAATCTGTACTTATTTTTCCAAATAGATTTAGCTTAGGAGCCCTGTTCATACATCCTGTCCTCCACAGGGGCGCACCCAACGTTCTCTGAGAGAACAAACCCTTACCTTACCTGTGTATCCTCCACTACCCCTGTACATATCCTCCTGTTCCACGTTTCACACGGTTTTGTGCTTATTTGTTCACATGTCTGTCACCTCGAGGGTGAATACCTTCGGAGGTCAGGGACCGAGTTCTATTCACGTTCAGATCCCCAGCCTATCGAATAGCTCCCAAAGCACTGCACGTGCTCAGTAAATATTTATGAGCTGGTACTATGTGTTCTTGGGTTTTTATAGGCCTTTATGAAAGAGGAACTATTTCAAAGACCCTTTCAAACCTGCTTATCTTACTTCAGGCTCAGGCTAGTTTTAACAGATTTTATGAAAGTAAACAATGGTTTCTGTAAAATTAAGTAATAGCAGCGATATAAAGAGCATTTTCTAGCAAAATGGTTAGTGCTGAGGTAAATGAAGGCTTTTAAAAATAGCTATGATAGAGGATGGGAAGTGGTTATCTGAAAGAAAAATGCATGGAGAGAGGAAAACAAGTGGTGTACCGAACAGTACAGGCTTTGGAGCCAGAGGGATCTAGGATCAAATCCTGGGTCCATCACTTAATGACTGTGGGGCTCTGAAAAGTCACTTAACTAGTCTGAGCTTCAGCTGCCATATTCTGAAAATAGCAGAATAACTCCTGCTATTCTGTGGTGAGGATCAGCAACGATGCATGAAAGGAAAACTGCCTAATATGGTTCCTGGAACTTTGTAGGGACTCCCTGTAATAAGTGTGTATGCACTAATCAGACAGATTTAAAATAATTTTTCATAAAGTAAAACAACTAAAACCAGTAGATGGCTTTTTAAAATGTTTACCAATTCTCACAAGATTTGTATTGGATAAGCTCTCAAAGTCTCCCGTGCTATGTGCTTCTACACAATTTATCCCGTTTAAAGAGTACCTCGATTTAAAATCAAGACATCATTGTCAAATATTCCATGTAAAAACTGACCCACCTTTAAATTTATATTATAAATATTCTGTTTAGTGAGTTCCTTAAGGTTACACCAATTCTGGGGAAATATACTAATATTAATAAATAATTTGTGAATTTTAAGAATACTTTTCTTTTATCCTTCAAGAAAAGAGCCAAATAACTCAAGAGTCCAGAAGGGAATTGTCTATAGTTGCAGTCTAAAATTTTTGCCCCCTGATTATGATATATTTACACTCCTCCAAAAGAGAGAAAATTATTTTCACTTTTGAAACTATAACCTGCATCTGATAATGTGGAAAGCACCACACTGACAGGTGAACCTTCTCTAGGTTTGTACTCAGAAGCTGCTTATCCAATCAAAAATTACTGAGACAGATTCAATAATCCATTTACCGTATTTTTGCCGTGTATAATGCACACCTATGGTTTCCGTGCATGTTATTCATATTCACAGGATTATTATATCCATTATTATATCCATACTATATAATCATTATACCCATGTGTAATGTGCATCCTTATTTTTCCCTAAAAAATTTGGGCAAAAAGGTGCGCATTATACACAGCAAAACATGCTACATTTTCATTCTTGCCTTTAAAAGAAATCAGAGCCAAAGGGATAGGTGTTAATTATGCGGTCTAAATGGAAGTTTGTGTCCAGAATGTTCTGTGTTTTTTCTATGTAAATCATCAACTCATTACTATCCAAATTTCGTGAGTAGAAATAAGTCAACAGGTATGAACATATTCCTGCTGAGAATTTGCCTCTGCCACCAACGCTGGAAATCCGGCCTTGTTAGGGACTTCTTCTCTGTGTCTCACAGGTGGTGTTTCCTGTGTGTCACGGGACGTCAGCATGCGATCCGATTTCAATCAGAAAGGGAAAAGGGGCTAACATGGGAGAGTTAAGTCTACCTGAGGCAGAGCCTGTGCACTAACCAGGAATGCTTTCATCAAGAGAAATGGAGATTACATAATGTAACTGTGTTCTTTCAGAACTCTTTAAGTAGTCTAGAAATTGCATCTTTTTTTAAAATTAGTAATTCATATCCAAAATGTATGAAATATAGCAAAACTTTTATTCAGAGTGCTCAGCTGTACTTATTAATTTAAATTTCCTTTTTGGTACTGAGACTTCACTGTAAAGTCTTTTTATTTTATTTGATTTATTGTGAAATCTTGAACTGTATTATTAGAGCTCTTACCTCTAATAACAGTTAGAATCGATTTCTTTAATTCTTTGGAAAAGCACAGGATTTCTCTCTTTTTTGGTTGTAGGGGTATCCTTATTTTTACCTTATCTCCTTGTATGGTAAGCTCCTTGAGGGCAGAGTGTATCCACTCATTTGTCATGTTTATGGTCTACTCTTGACGTCCTATATGACTACTGAACACTTCAAACGTAGCTAGTGCAAACTGAAATGCGCAATGTATGTAAAACACACACTGAATTTCAAATAATATGGAAAAAGTAGAATACCTCATTAATAATTTTTATACCAATTACCTGTTAATATTTGGATACAATGGGTTAAATAAAATGTTATTAAAATAAATTTCATTTGTGACTATTAGAAAATTTCAATTAGTCACAGGTGACTCCATTATGCTTCTGCAGGACAGAGCTAGTCTACACTCTGTGTGACGTATAGGGATATGGGGATACAAGGAGTGACTATGTTCTTCAAGGAACTCATGACTGTTTTATCACGCAGCGTATCGCAGTGCCCAGCACAGTGCCTTACTCAGGTGGTTAATGCCTGCGTTTCAGACCAAATGTGGAGCAGCACGTGAGGGACCTAGTCAGCAGGAACTACTGAGTGAACAAAAATCAGTGATTGTTGAAAATTCTGGAGGCCTTGAAGATAGAAACAGAGAGTTGCGGGACTTGACAAGTGTTTCTTAGTTTTTTGATGAATGATAATGAATGTTAACACTTTCAAGACAATATATTTCTATCATGATATAAATACCCAGCACTTCTGGGGCAACAGGCCGCCCTCAGTAGTGATACCCACTAACATTATTGTGTTTCTCAGACACTTGAGGTCTAGGGGGTAATTCCTATCCTGATGGGCTTTTTCTTTCTGTACAAATCATAATAAACCCATTGCTGTCCCTCCACTGGTAAGTACTGCAGAGCCTTCTTAAAGCTGAAACTTAAGCCCTGGCTGGTGCGGCTCAATGGATGGAGTGCTGGCCTGAGAACCAAAGGTTTGCTGGTTCAATTCCCAGTCAGTGCACAGGCCTGGGTTGTGGGCCAGGTCCCCGGTAGGGAGCATGTGAGAAGCAACCACACACTGATGTTTCTCTCCCTCTCTTTCTCCTTCCCTTCCCCTCTCTCTAAAAGTAAATAAATAAAATATTTTTTATAAAAAGGGCTGAAACTAAAACTTGAATACTCTATTCACCTTGACCTAAACAATATGCAGAAACTCAGCTCAATTTGTTTGTCTCAGGAGGATGAAATAACTTAAAATCAAAAGGGGAAGAAAAGAAAACCTGTTTCCCTTCTCCATACCCAGTGCATCATGAAGATACTGCTGTCCCACCAACTTGAGGTACTCCTCAATGGACTTGGTGGCGATGGTGTTCTCTCTGAAGATCAGGACATCATGCTCTCCACATCGATCCACCTCAGACATCACCAGGTCAGTCAGAAAGTCCTGGCAGAATAACATTCAATCAGGCAGAAAGCAACTGAATAAATAACACATGTCAGAAGAGGCCGATGAACTGTAAGCCATTCCGGGAATCATGCTTTAAAACTAAAACTACCAGGTTCACGTGAAAGAACAAGGTTACCACCCCTAAGTGTAAAAGCCCTTCACAGATTTTCCCATTGCACTTAGGTAAGACCACAGTTCTGAGTGCGGCCTACAAGTCTCCATCCGTTTTGGCTTCTGTCTGTCTCCTTGGCCTCGTCTTGTCCATTCTCTCTGCATCCTGCTCCAGGCCCAAGGGCCTTCTCGCCAGGTCTTTGACGACACCGAGCCTTTTCCCACGCATAGTGCCGTCTGCCCGCCACGACGCTCTGTGCTGATGCTGGCCTCAGTTCCGCTTCATGCCCACCACCTTTCCTGCCTGACGATCGTGGAGCTAATTCCTTGGACCCTCTGCATCTTAGTTCACACATCTTTTCCTCAGCGAAGCCCACTCTGACCAGGCGCTGCCCTGGACCCCAGGAGTCAGGCCCCCTCAATCCACACTTCACAGCACACTCCTCGGCCCTTCTCACTGTCATGACCCCGTTTATTTCTGTAATTACTTGATTAATATCTGTTTTCCCCAAAAGACTGTGAGCCTCATGAGGTCAAAGACAGTGCCTATTTCTGTTCATCTCTATAGTTTTAAGCTCTTAACAGTTTCTGCACATGTTAGGTATTCAGTATCTAACAGTTACAAATTGGTCCACAGTATCCACATGGAATTTCTTGAACCCAACACCTAAACTTACTTTCTAGGCAGCCTGCCTGCTATCCACCCCCCGACCCCCGATCCATCCATGGAGGAGGAAGGCGTAATGAGAAACAAAGTCCTCAAGAAAAAGCTGCTTAATTTCTCCATGGTCTTAAAGAATTTCATGTAAAAGTTAATGTTTATTGTTTAGTTTGAAATGTGGTAACATCAAATATTTGGAATGTTATATATTTATTGGGCATATCAAAGTCCCTAAAAATCCCAAAACAGGGACTATGCTGATTTACTTTAAAATTTGACCTTTTAAACAGTAATGGGCTTTACTCCGGGGCTCCTGAACAGCGTGAAGGAGTTCTGGACTTGGGCGTCCCCAGGACAGCTCTGAGGCTGAGGGGCGGGAGGCCCTTGGGGCAATGGTCCCGTTCTGTATCTGACTGTGCCAGAGGTTTCAGTGGGAGCATTATCTTGCAAAAATCACTCAATTCTTCACTTTAAATGGGTAGAGTTTTCTGTATGCAAGTCATACCTCAATAAAGTTGTTTGAAAAGTCCTACATATACCCTGAACTTAGAGCAACTGAAAAGCAGCAACATATCCATACAATTTCAAAGATGGCACTCAACATTTCCATGACACCTCACCCCAAATTCTTAAGCTTTTTAAATGCCAGAAAGTTCAAGATTATCATCAGTAAATCCAACCATGAAAATTATAATCAATAAGAAGGCAGTTTCATAAGGGACTAAATATTGAATATATCAACATATCCTGATTTATATTAAGAAATCTTAATAGCACTTTATTTTACTGTTTAGCTCTAAATAAATGATCCTCTCTATGAACTCCTCTAGGTTTGAAATACAATTTGCTGGGACCACTGTGCATATAATAGTGACTCAGCCTGGCTAAGTGCATACGCCTCGGAGAGGCGGTAATTACTACCATTCAGGCAGGCTGGTCAAAGACTGTCGTTTGGTTGTTCATACAATTAGCAAATTTCTCTTTTCTCATCTTCCTAAAATTTTACTTCTATCCAGGATACAATGAGATAAGGCTCATATTATACCAATTATATGACATACCTTGGTATTTTTATTTCAAACGTAAATTTTAATCCCATGAAGATGCTTGCTAAGAGCCAGTATGCTCTGGAACACCTCCCTCTGTGCCCAGGGGATATGTCATTAGTTATTCTTAACTTAGACAAGATATAGTGAGGTGTAAAACCACCACAGGGTGCATGCCTGGCCTAAAGATAAACAATCTTGAACACATGGTGGGATTATCACGCCAATACTACCACTTATTTTGTCCGACAATAAAGAACAAGCTATGGTGTCTATCTTTAATGCAAATGAACTTTAAATAAATATTTGCAGTCTCTCCATTTTATTTCAGTTTTATAATCACCACCTTTTCTTGATCTAAGATCTATTAATGGGTTTCCTTCTTAATTCTTTCCTTCTCGTTTGACCATTAGCACTGTGTCTTTCTCAAGCTGGGGTCTTTGTTTCTTCATAAAAGGTAGGGAAGAGATTTTGGGTAACCTCCCCTCCTTTCCCACTTACCTTGGCTCGGCCAGTACTTTGAAGAATGTGGACTAAGGCACAAGCCAACTCCTCTTTATTTCTCACACTAATTACTGGTTCAAGGACAGAACACAGCATGGTGTAGTTGCTGGTGACAAATTCTGCAAATTCTTTGTATTGCTCCATAGGCAGAATGGTGATAGTTTGGAAACGCGATTTAATTCGAATAGAAGGTCCTCCTGTCTTTCCTTTGTTGGGTGTGGGTGTACTCACGGGGTACCACTTTTCCACAAACTGGCGACCAGTCACACTGGCAGTGGGGATGTTGACTAGCCCTACATAATTATTCTTGTCCTTTTTTTTCTTTTTTTCCACGTCTTTATAAATGTGAACTGTGATGCTATGAAGAGGTGGAAGACTGTAGAATTCAAAATGTTCGCCCCAGAATATATTGTCTGCTTTGGTCTTGCTGGTTGTACGAGCAAAGAGGGTATCATCAAGGCACAGTTCACAGAAATATTTCTTTTTAGGGGCGAGGTCCTTGGCTTCAATGATCCATAAACGGAGAACATTTTCAGCTCGTCTGCAATTGTCCTAGAAAAAAGTAACAAAGCTGAGTTTGAGAGCTGAAATCTCAGGAAGACAACGTTTTCCTTTTTTTTAAATCCTCACCCGAGGACATTTTTTCATTGCTTTCAGAGAGAGAGGAAGGGAGAGAGAAATGTCGATGCCAGCTTGATGTATTGATTGGTTGCTTTCTATACACGCCCATACCAGGGATCGGATCGGCCTGGACCAGGGATCGAACTTGCAGCCTAGATATGTGCCCTCACTGGGAATCAAACCTGCAACCTTTCGGTTACAGATACTCCAACCGACAGAGCCACACCAGCTAGGGCACATGTTCCTTTTAAACAGGTGATGCTGATTATATACTTCATTATGGGTAATCAAGAAATAATGAAAGGGATTGCTAGCTCATTGTTCAGGACCATAGCAAGCTCTAAATAAGAATGTGTCAGAATCTTTGCCACATACATTATGTTTTACTTGGGTTGAAAAATACAACTCCGTAACATCAGTTCTCAGATAACCAGCCTCGTAGCAGCTGGAATGATGCCTGCAAATAAAAGCTGAGCAGTTAAGAAGCTTGTGCTCTAGGCCCATCTCTATCACGCGCTGACTTCTGACGCGGGCAAGTCACTTCACTTCTCTGAGCCTTCTCATCCACAGTGGTAAAACCACGATAATATCTGAGAGAAGGATTTTCAGCATAAAATGGCATAACATGTTGGAAATGTCAAATGTGTTGAAAAAGGTCTATAAAAATTAAGGTATTATCACTGCATTTATCTTCTATCAATTACTGCTCAAGGAGTTACGCATTTTTGTGGACACTCAGAGCCACAGTTACCTTATTTGGCTGAACTGTCCTGCGAAGGTTTTCCATCCACTTATCTCTCTCTGAGGCGGAGTTGCAGCTGAAGCATTTACTTCCACTCAAGTAGGTAACCTTAAACATAAAGGTCAGAGGTAAGGAAAAGAAAACAGGGGGTTTGGGGGCTCTAGTTTCCTAGTTGTATCATTTAAGAGCTGGGGATGCTCCAAGAACGCATGTCAAACTACATGAAACCAAGTAGCATTCGCAGCCTTGTGATTTCTGCATCTATACCTTCATCCACTTTCTACTTTGTATCCTCACTCATCTGTAGGGGTGAGGACAAGGAACACTGAGAATTCAGCTCAGGAACCTAAAACTGTTCAGAAGGATCAAAATTAAAAACCTTTCAGGACACAAATTACCTGCAAATGCACACTCTCAACTCTGAGTGAGTTAAAAGGGGAGAGAGTGTCTGAAACAGCTCACCCCGTTTCTTGGGGCTGCCCTCCCTACAATATTATAAGGGAGCTCCAAATGAAATTGAAAAGAGTTACCAGTATTCAGTTATTATCTCTGGAACCCCTTTCTCCTCCACTAGCAACCCTGCCTGGTGATTTCTAGTCTTTATTAGGTTAAATTGAACACTCTTATCACCACCCTTTGAGAAACGAAACATGTTCTCTACATGCCCAGCACTTAACACTGGGTTTGCTATTCTACCTGTTGAATTCAGGTCCAAAAATACAGGAATATTCAAATGACTTAATAAAAAGAACACTAACAAATGACCTGTCCAAATTGCTAAGTGTGCCTACATACTGACTCAGTCTTGGGTTGTATCCTAGTGAATTAACTCAGATTATATATTCTGATCTAATAGGGTAGCTACTAGCCACATGTGACTAGTGAGCGCCTGAAATGAATGTAGCTGGTCCAAACTGACATGAGCTATAAATGTTAAATATATATTTTGAAGACTTAGTACCCCCATAAAAAAGGTAAAAAAATCTCACTGAAAATTTTCATATTAGTTACATGTTGAAACAGTTAAGGGTAATTTGTTCATTTAAGAAATTAGACACGTGCAATGTACCAGGGACTGGGTGAGGTGCAGGGGATTATAAAAATAAATAAGACATGGTTCCAGATCTTGAATTGCCTATGTTGTAGGCAATTAGAAAAATTACATTTTGGTCCATTTCCTCAAATAATTATTAAAATTGGGGTCTTAGGCTTTTAGGAGAAAAATAGTACCTTTATCAATAATAAAAAATTGAAATACTAATTTAATGTTATTGTTAGTCTTGTGGCTTCTGCTGAGAATGTACTATGAACCCGCTGATTTGGAAAGCAGATTCAGACAAAAGGAAGGAGAAGCCATCGTTAATAACTTTCATCGCCAATATGATTAGATCAACAGATTTCCAAATCTTCTCCCTGTAAGTAAGTAATTTTCAGTACCTGAAAACCAATTAAGATGCCCGAATCAGCGCCAGAACAGTGAGCTCACAGAATTCCTGGACAGAAACCCTGTGTGCTGTTTAACTGCCCTTCCTCCTCTCCACACTGCTTTACCTCGAAGCAGAAGTCTTGCCCGAGGATGCTGCTGTGCAGCGGCTTCACGGACACGGGCTCCCCCCGACCGAGGTCCAGGCACTCCACCGCGCTGCACGGGCTCAGCAGGGACTCGTGGGAGCGGGACTCCTTCAGCTTCGGCAGCCCGCGAGACCTCGGAGAGACAGACAGGGAAGGCAGTGTCACCATTGGCCAACAACAAGTAAATAAAGGTCTAATGTGGTGGAGGCTCACCAGAAACGTGTAAATGTCTGCAAAAAAACAGGTGAGGAGCACATTAGCAGTTAATCTTTAATAATAATAACAGTAACTCTATTTACGTGGCCCATATAAACCTTGTATGTATTTGTGTATACGCATGTATGCACTGCTTTCCTCAATAAACCAGAAAAACATACTATAATTTTACTAGTCTCAAGGGAGCGCAAAGCTCCAGTACAGACGTTGTTTTTATCCTCACTCCTGTTTTGGAGATGGAGAAATACATACTATTCAAGGTTGTCTTATGTATTCTTATTTATGCAGAGGTATTATCAAAAGATGTATTATTTCTTTTTTTCATGCTGTAGCATTATCCTCTCCTATCACTGATAAAATAATTGTGGCTAAATCCTCATTCTGTTTCTTTCTGCTTTGGAAGAAACACACACACACACACACACACACACACACACACACACACACACACACACAGTCAAAGCCAAGCTTTTCAGCACAAGACCCTGCCTTTCAAAAGGTCTGATTTCCATCTCAATATGACATTCTTTTCTGGCAAGCTTTTGGTTCTATCCATGCTTTACTGTATAAATATGAATAAAGAATAAAATGCCTTGAAGAAACCTCCCACCCACAAAAGAAATGTTCAAACTCTCATCTAGAAGAACAGTTCTTTGTCAACACCATTCCGGCGTCCTGACTGATTCTGTTTCCTGGCCGTTTGAAAAGGAGGCTGGGCGTCTCGTCACTATAGGAGCTGGAACTTTGCTGCCTGCCTCTTGGATGAATTAACAAAATCAAACAATATAAAGCACAATATTTTTGAAACCAGTAATGGACAGCCATGTAGTTTTACTCAATAATTATAGTATTTATTGACTGAAACACCCAGAATTAAATATGTATATATATTTCAAGCTGAAATACCTAGTGACAGGGATAAAAAGAGATGCCTTGTGTGAGGACATTTGTTTTTATAGAACACATTAAATAAGCAGCTTCATTCATTTCCTTGAAATAACCATGTTAACATGAAAAGGAACTGAAATGCTTGATGAGAGAGTAGCTTTCAGTTAAATTATAAAGTAATGAGGTACAGGAAAGTAGCATTAAAGTCCTCGCTTTCTCTCTGTTTCCACTGTGACATCATTTGATCAAACTCCATGCAGTAAGAAACATCTTAAGCAATAGATTTCAGCCCATTCTTTTTTCCATACATAAAAACCCAACCACCATTTAATGTTTAGACCAACAAACGTGCGCTCTGATATTCAGCAGTCTTTTTAAGGCCAAAAAGTCAATAATTATATTTATTATTGATAATACAAAATATGCACAGAAGCCACCTAATGTTTTGTGCATAAAAATATAACAATGTAACAGCTCCACATTTATTTCCTTTTGTTCTACTGAAGGAGACAATGCCATGATATATTTTGCAAAGATAGCACAACTATAAATAAGTGCTAAAACAATTTTACTTTCATGTAATTACCATACAACCTTCCCCAATGTGCTTCATGGGAAGCCTGGCTGAGGCAACAGGACACTGTAATCTCTGCGAAACACACAGAGAACAACAGCTCCAGCCCCCCTTCCCCAGGAGGGGCTGCTTGGAGGGCCAAGCCTCTCACGTTCTGCGAGTGAGCCCTCCCAAAAGGAAAGAAAAAGACATGCTTCAAATAGAAGGACGTACGACAAAAGGCTCACTTTTACTTTTAAAATTCTCTAGGAAAATATTCTCAAACAGAAATCAAATTTTTTTCAAACAAAATAAATGTCTACCTACATGAAGCAATTGTGTAGCCACCTGGCAGGGCAACCCCAGAGCATAGCGGAGCCACATGTCCCGGTAGAGCAAGGCACTTTCTGAACTACCTCTCAGAAAACACCTCTCTGTTTAGAAGAACCAATAGAAGACGGTTTCCCTGCTGCCTTCGGTTACTGACAACATCTTGGGATCAATGTCTTCCAGGAGCAATTTCAAGTCCTCAATAGAAGAACAGAAAGACAAACAGTGGAACTTGAAGTCATCTTCTAAACAGACGGCAGGATAGGCAATATTCCTTCTCCTCCTCAGGCGGCATCAGCCCCTTAGGTAACACAAACAAGGACCTGGGCTCTAGGCTGGGCCTGTTGCCATGGTGCTACACCTATAAGGAGATTAGAGCTGAAGGCAGCAGGGAGAACTGCGGCTTGAAGGGCTGAGGAGTGTGCTCTGCAGGCTGGACCATTTTAAGACAGAAAGGAATGGCAAGACCCCTGCCCTTTTCCATGAACAATTTCTCAGAGTCCAAGGCTGTAGGCAGAAATGGAGGCAACCAGGGGGTGGAGAAGAAGCTCTTATCTCCACTAGGGAACAAAGTTGAGAAGCTTTGCCTTGCTTCATACACATTTCCCTGCACCCTAGTAGAAGGCAGCTGCACATCCCAGCTTGCAAGTCCACTCTCTCTCACACCTATTTCCTGTGCAGTGCTCACCCTAGTTTAATGTTTCTAGGTGTGATTTTACATTATCTTATCTGGGTTACATGTTCTTTTTTCTTTTAGACAAAGTTGGATAAAATTCTTTATTCACCATATCTCTAATGCTGAACAAATTTCATTTTGATATTCAGGTCTAACTTCCAAACACAGCTATCAGATTTTGCAACCAAGCCTTCTGGAATAAGAATTCAAAACTCCTCCCAGTTACTGAAAGTGCAATTATTAATACATAGCTGAGAATCTCCTATTGTTCGGCATTTCTGTACATATTAACATGTATGTGTGTACATATTTACACCCACATGGTGAACAGAGCACCAAAGTCACTAATATTTTCAACGTTACTGCTGAATAAATAAGCAACCTCTTCCTGTACTGGGAGGCAAGCGTCCCTGAGAAGACAGAAACAATCCCCAGAGACGCGGGGTTACAGCAAACAGGAGGAGGAAGCAGACTGGGAACGGCTATGGAGCCGGGGTTGGGGTGGGCATGGCATTATTTGTGTAAATATTTCTATGTAACAGCATCAATAATCTCAAATCCCCTCTAAATCGCATTTACCACCTCCTGTACCTTCAGAAGGATTGACTTTCTTAGATCTGCCAGCTAGAGAGTTTTAGCAGCTTGTATGGCAGTTTACTTCTCTGATGGAAAGCAGAATGTGGGTCTATTGAGAGAATAATCAAAGTTTACATCAATTTTTTTCCAGTCCAATTTGACAATGCCTGGATCAAGGAACCTGACCTTGAGAGCGGACACTGTGAGTCCCCGACTACTGGCCAGAGCTCTCTCCCCGACCCCCACACTTCTACCACCCAACCCCACGCACTAGGTAAGGGCAATTCAGGGCTCCAATTGGACTAGTTCTCACTTTACTCAAGAAACTGCTTCCCAGAAGCAATTTAGTTCTAACCAAGGAACACCATGTTTTTACACATTTGTTTTAAGGTCAGCAGACAACCTTGATTGCTGTGTAAACTCCAAGACCCCTAAGAGTATGATAGGTAAGGGTTAAAAATCTAACTGCTTTGTAGATGAAGATTACCTGCTGCTTCTGACCTACTTAAGAGATAAACTAGGAGGAAGGAAAGGCATTCTAGTACTTACCACAGTGAGTATTACCTCGCTTTAACTCACATCCCTAGCTGAAAAGACAAACGTGAAGGAAGGGGAGGGGTGGAGAACCAACACACACACCATTGGATACACTGACGAAGGAAAAATAAGGGGAGTCAAAGAACTTTGATTAGTGCAGTGCTAAGTAAAACACAGCTGGATTTTACTCAGCCCAACCACTCAGTCTTTTAAAAAGCCAGATTTCCTCTGCAGTGCCCATGGTGCTTGGATGTGCTTGCTCAATCTGCCACATGTTTACAGATTCAGTCCCAAACTCAGGAAACTTTTAATTAAAAATGCCATTGCCACACAAAATCCTGCATTCCAGCACAGGTGAATTTCTGCTTGGCTTGGCAGTTCTGACTCGAGGCTGCCCCACCGAATTCTCGAAGAGACAGCTCAGCCACAGGCTGTGCGCATCAACACATGCACCTCTTTGCCAGTGTGCATTCCTGCGGCAGCTTGCCTCACCTGAAAATGTCCCCGGTAGTAATTAACTAAATTTGGTTATCCTTATACCAGAAAATTAACAAAGGGTCTAATTTTTTTTTTAATTGCATCTGAGACCTCACTTTGAGAAAAATGCATCTTGACTTGTTCCCCAAATTCAACTGTTTTTGAAACCTGGTATCCGTGAAAACAGGTAACTGATGTTTTCTGTTTGAGAGAACAGGTTCTTTCCTGTACTATAATCTAAAAGGTTTCCCTCCCTGATTTAAGGAAGAAGGAAAAAAAATTAAAGCTCATTCATCAATGTTTTACTTGTGTATCCAAAAAAAAAAAGGCCTCCTAGCTGCACTGGGTTACCTGCTGCAGTTACAGTCAGTCACCATTGCTTATATTACTTACTGCTTTTATGTTAGTTAAAAAAAAACCCCACACCAGTCACACGAAAAGCTGTTTGTGTAAACGTAACACACAGTGCTGATCTTCCTTCTCCCTGTTCTGTCTCGAGACAGGGTGGTCTAATGAGCCCAGCTGCTAACGGTAAAAAAGGATACTTGTCAGCCTGCGTTGTCACTTAAAATGAACAAACACATGGGAAGGAAATGTATCACCATAGACAAAAATGACATTCAACCTATTTTGGTACAAATGCATGTATACAATGAAGGTGGACACAGAAGGAAGACAAGATTATAAATGTTAAAACACATTCTGGAAGGCAGAAAATTCAACTAGCCTCCAATATGACCACTTCTCTGCAGAAATTGTACCACACTGTAATGCACTTTCTTTTTTTTGTCCTTAAATTGCAAATGAAGTAAACTCTACTATGCCTATTAAACAATTTAATATCAACACAACTATATTGAATTTTTAAAAACATCATGAA